ATATATAAATTTACTTTTATTAAATTTATATATTATAAAAAATAGCTATTATATTTTAAATTATTAATTTTTAAAAAGGTTATTATATTAATTTTTAATTAAAGCCTATAAGGTATTTATTCTTTATTTTTATATTTTATATTTTAATTACTTTATAATAAGTAATAGCTAAAAAGTTATAAATATTTTAAATTATAAAAAGCTTAATAATTATTATAAATTAGCTTTTTAACTATAATTAAAAGGATATTAATATAAATATTATTAAACTTAAAAAATAAAAAGAGATTTCTTAAAAAACCCTTTTTATATATTATTAAGTTTTAACTTAAATTTAAATTAAACCTTTAAGTTATATCGTTTTATAAAGGCTTAAGTAAGGCTCAAGTCTATAATATTTATTAATTAATTAGCTATAATACTTTTTTTATTAAGTTTATTTAAATTAAAAGCTTAATAATAAAATATTAATATAATAATAATTTTTTTATTATTATTAAGAAATAGACTTTAATTATAAAGTTATTATATAATAAATAACTATTTAATATTTAATTTTAAATATTCTTTTATAATTTTAGCTTTTTTATAATTAATTATAAATAAAATAAGCTTTCTTTTCTCTTTTTTTTATAGCTTATTAATACTTACCTCTATTAGCTTTAGTTAAAGGATATACTTTTAAAACTTATATAGTAATATTATAATATTTAGCTCTATTTTACTAGCTTAATATTTGTTTTTTATAAATAGTTTTTATTTAATATTATATTATATTATTAATTTGCCTTTATAGAAATAGTATAGCTTTTAGTTATTAAATAGTATAAATATTAAAGCACTTTTAATAAGTTATAGTTAGCTTTTTAAAGCTAATACTATAAGCTAAAATACTTTACTATTAAATATTATAATAATTAAAATTTAAGCTTTATTTATATTATTATTAAATTAATTATTTATAATTTTATTATAACTATTAAGTTTTACTATAAGGTATAATTTAACTGTTTCTTATAGGTTTACTGCCTATACTAGCTTATTATAAAGAATATATATTTTAATCTCTTCCTTTTATTTTATAGAGTTCTATAAATTTCTATAGTTAATAGTTATATAAATACAGCCTAAATACTAATAAAGTAAAAGTTTAATAAGCATTAAATAACTTAATCCTTTCTAGTAAAGCTATCTATAGACCTAAAGTAGAATTAATTAAAGCAATAAGAGAACTGTAATAAAGTAGGTCAGGAACAAAGCCTAATTCTCCATAAATATGGACGGGTTGCGGCAATCGTTCCAGGCGCCCTTAGACGGCCCCAACTTTCCCAGAAGTATCCCAGTAGTACTCACAACGCTCACCTCCGGTTAAGCCCGATTCCATGTTCATGTTTAAATCCGTTGTTGACCCAATTTTCATGTCAAATTTAAGACCCACGCGGTTGTCTGTAGCACAACAAACGAGACGATTGATCTGGCACTGAACCTCGGTAACGAACTCAACAAAGAGTGCTGCACGATCTGGCTCTGATGATGGAAACGCCAAGTTTTTCACTGGCCCTGCTATCCCAGTGGCACTAGACATGCCTAGTATAATATTGACAGTCTTGTTCGGAACTGTGCGGACGACGACATTGCGAGCCAAACTTGGAACTAATTTGCCGATCGCGCCACCCACAAAGCCAAACACCGCACCTTCGACAATGGCTTGTGTGCAGCCATCCAGCAAACCCTTGTTGTTACCACTAATAAGCTCCCGCGTAGCGTCTGGGTCGTGAGTTGGTAAGGCTGGCGCTGGAATACCCTCGTCTACGGGTGTGGTGCTGTTATGTGGGATAACCCGGAAGGAGAAGTCGAATAGCATACGTCGCCGTTCCTTAACGTCCATACCTTGGAAACTGAACTCACTACCAACGTCAAACAAGACCCTGTTGTTGACCTCAAAAGGGGAGTTCGTTCGAAGACAGGTGATGACACTTTCCAAGGTGGTTCCGATGTATTGAATGACAGTCTTCCTGTAAAATTGCTGAAGGGGATATTGTTGTATAATGATGGTTATGCTGCTAGCGTCAATCGCGTTGCCCGTAATCCTTGTTGTGACTGAGCCGATAATTCCTGTAGCGACTGTCCCTGCCATGAACCCTGCGGCTCCGACGGGCATTGCCACTGCGACAGTCGGAGCGATAAAGAGAGCGAAACCTCCACCCAAAAGTGAGGATATGACAATGGATGTCCAATTTCGTCTTTGCTGCGCAACTGGTGATTCTTCATTTGCCCTGGCAACTTCGTTAGACATCTTGGGTGTGATTGAAGGGAGTTGTTTATGAGGTATCTCAGAGACGAGAGCGGGGTTTATTTTGAGCTGACAGTACCACGTACTCAGTCAGGCTTTAGGCATAACAGTATTAGGCATCAAATTGATGCCCCAGTCATCCAAAGAATTCATTACTAATCTCTGCACCCTTACGGCAATTTGCCTCGAGAGTATCTATAAACGAGAAATATGACTTTGCGCAAGCCCAAGCGACGAAGCAGAACTTGATCTGGAATCATCGTGGTGTAGAATCGTAATGGTTGACATCACGGCCATCACTTCATGGGAAATCGGCAAGGTGCATAGCCGCTGCAACACTGTTTACTGCCAACCTGTTGGAAATGGGTACCTTGCGTTTGAAGATTGTTCGCTTCTAAATCCCAACTCCTTTGGCGGCCGAATTGGCTATCCTTACGGATGTTGGTAAAGCCAATCGTTGCCCTCCTCACATTGCTTGGTGCTTTCTGAGGGAGGATGTTAGCGGCTGAATGAGATCTCTTAATGCTGCCTAAACCATTATTACCGACTTCTCTATGGTCTGCCATGAATTCGACTGAATAGGATATGTAATAGTCTGACAATTGTGAGTATTGTCTGAGACGGATTGGTTGAGATGCGTACTGTACTGTCGTTGATTGGCGAAATGACTCCACATTGCCGTTTCGTTTAGCTGACTGAGATCATGCTGCCTAGCCTGGAGATACCTAACCAAATTAGTTTGAACTAACTTAGCCCCGGACCGAGCCGTTTGCAACGGCCGTGCTAAACTAACACTAACAATCCGGCCAAAGCCTCTCAGTTATTAAATTCGTAACCCTCGCATTTGGCCTTGAACATGATCCGCGATCTTTCCCGTGTCCTAAGAACCATTTCACGATATTTATATCACTCAGGGAAGAACTACAAGAAGGGAGTTTCTTGCGGGGGGGGCTCCTATTGTTTCCTCGTCATCATGGCTGGCTGAGAGAACAAGCTGCTATAACTCGAATACCCGGGCTGAGACATGAGCGCATTTCCCAACGATGGGCAAGATCGTCGCAACCACGTTTCTCCGAAACACAGCGACCCTCACACCGTAATTTCCGGGATGTTGTTTCCTCGTGGCTGGTACGTTAATGAAGGCCTGATACATACAGGGAGTTAATGTTTGCTAAGTCGCTTGATGACCTTTTATATACTGCGCTGTTCATGCCACCACGGACTGTCGCATATCATTCGAAACGCCAGAGACGTAGCTTTTTGATCATGATTGCAAAACATTCCTTTGGGGATCATTCACAATGATGAGCTTCCCTATATTCTACAGCCTTATCTGTCTGTCCCCCCATGTTCGTGGCTGGTCTCATCTCCACCCGTATCTTTCAGCCGCTTCGGAGATCTTAACTTCTCAGATCGTTCGGTCGTCAGATGCAGGGCCAAACGTGTTGTGTGGATCTTTTTCGTTTTCGTTATTCGTTGGGGCTGCAATATCACATCGCTTATCACCAGGCTAGCAGGCCCAGATCTCGGCATTGTGGTCTTGGGTGTTTGCACAGTACACGTAACCGGGTTTGTGGTACTGACAGTCACCGGACGAAGAGCAAGATCTGCTCTCAGCTATCTAGATAGGATCTTCATTCCCTGCGTGCAGTGTCCTTAGGTTACCAACGGAGTTGCATGTCCTCCCAAGGGATACATCACCGTAATTGTCTTCTTGTTTTGTCATTCTGTTTCTTCTGCACGCACCTTGTGAAACACTGCGTTTGCATCGACTCAGGACTTTATCTTTCCAGCATGCATCCCATGGAAGAGCGCATACCGTACGGAAAAGTGCGGAGAATTGCATATGCAACCTGCCTAGTCCAGGTGAGAAAAGAAGCAATGTCGTGGGCCACTGCTGTTCAGAAACACATGACTCCTTTTCGCATTCTTGACCATTTGGGGTTCCGTTCAAAATCACTGGTCGTCTGCGATAACTCCATGTTATTTAATTAACCCATCGGATCTTCCGTCTCTGACTTTATCTTCTTCTGTCTCCATTCCACACTCTTTTGGCGGTGGTTACGTCGTTCAAATACTCGTTGGCCCCCGGGATTGTAAGCCCAGCCGTATATCTCCAACCACGACCCCTAGTTGGTTGTTCCAGCTCCGCACCATGTCCCAGCCTCCGACACCATCTAGCGTGAGTCATCTACTCAAACCAATTCTTGACACTAACATATCTTCGGCAGGTTGAGACTGATGATTCATGGCCTCCGTTCTCCGAGGCAGAATTGCAGTGCTATCAGAACTCGATCGAGAATTCCTCCACGTCCCCTATCCAGGACATGACTCTTGAGAAAGAAGAGCAGACTCACAACGATGGTCTTGCTGCAGATTCTGAGACCTCTTCTGTAAGTGTTCTTGACACAGTTGCTACTTTTCCATCATGACCAAAACTAATCTATCTTCATGAGGCCGAACATGACGCTCTCAAGCCTGGGACGTCATCGGAGTCAGAATTAATGTCCACCTGGGGATTCATCGAGCGTTCTCCCATACCCCCTCCCAAGCCGTGCAAGTCCCTTCCCGACCCGACCGAGTTCGCCTCTCTGAAGGGGAAAAAACAGACTCACTCTGTTCGTTTTGCTGAGGATTCTGAGATTGCCTCTGTAAGTCTGCTTGTAGCGGTCGCTGGTTCAACATCGCTAAGTCATGCTTGATAGAATAAAGCCAAAAGGCCCAAGCCAGGCTTCCTTGAAGTAAGTCCCGCGAGTTCGTCATGTGCGCCCTCAGCGAAGTCACCAACTTTGACTGGGTTGGTCATCTATCTGGCAGACAAGCATTTGGGCGTTGCCAACCTTGGTCCAGAGATGGAACCCAAGGCAGATTCCATGCGTGTCATGACTGTGATAAAGTCTACCTATAATCTCAGGCGTGCCACGTTGGACATTGAGAACAGATGCCTGAAGGATGTTTTGCCATGATTACATGGAATGACCCCGCTAACCCCATGTTCACAGGATTCGATTTTGGCCGTTTACAATTCTACGCAGGAGATGCAGAAGCAGTTTGAGAAGGAGCCCGGATGTGATACCACGGTACGTGCTCTCTGCATTTTTACGGTCTTAACTAATATGGTATCTGCAGGATGTTACATTCTTCCGGTGTCGGATGATATGGTATCTGCAGGAAGTAATGTCACTACTAATCACAGACCTCAGATTCTTGGACCACGAGCCGGTTATTGCGGAGATACTTCGCAAGCGCCTTGGTAGAGATCTCAGACTTATTCAAGCGAGGCTGAGTATCCTCGAAAGCGAGAAGAATTGTCATCAACAGCTTCTCTCGAGCCTTGAGTCACGCTTGTCTGAGTTGGAGACCAAGGTGAAGGGACTAGAGGCCTGTCGCGATCGGAAGATTGTGGAGGTGCATGATGATGATGATGACGATGATGATGATGAGACTTCAGCTGAGGCTCGGACTCAGATTCAGAGTCAGATTGAAACTGAGATTCAGGTTCAACTTTAGGCTCATCGTGAGGTTCAACCTGGGACTGGGGGTGAGGCTTAGATTGGCGCGAATGATCGCGCGTTGACTTTAATGCTGGGAACGACAATTATGTAACTATCGCCTTGCATGATGTCTGGATCACCCTTGGGGCTTGGCCGGACATAAATGGAAGGGTTCTGGACCTGACATCTCGTTATGGCCTACGAAGCAGAGAAAGGTCTATTGCTTTCTAGCAATTGAATTGGTGTGCACTAATATTTCTGCGATGTATGCCTTTGCGAGGGCGACAACAAATCGCCAGTATGACCATTTGAACCTGAGAACAAAGCCTTCTTCGTCAAGTGCACAATGGTTGACTTTCGGAGCCGATAAGGCACTCAGGGACAGCGTGAGCACTCATCATTAGCATTGATCACTGGGTCCTCCCTACAGGACGGATCTTAGCAATTCTGCATTTTCCATCATCACACAAAGTCATTGCTCCATACCTTCAATGTGGGCATGAATATTCGTCTCTGTATTGGTCCCTGTACCAAAAGTGGTCATTGCGGATAGAGAATGAAGCCTCTCTTTTTCCAAGCGGGAAACCCGTCATCTGCGAGCGCTCCAAGGCACGTAGTAAGGATGGCCTTGCCGAGCTCGGGCTCCGTCTACCTAATCATGTCTTGAATACGAAAGAAACCGTTAGATCGGTCGAAAGGTTGGGTACCGATAATCTGCCTTGCCATTATCCTGTAATGATTACAGTCTAATCGTGTGCTTCACCTGACTGCATCCATCAAGCTCATACCTCATGCGTCGTCAATGGTCTTTATGGGAGATTCAGGCACTACGGGAAGAAGAAATCAGCTACAAATCTCGAAGGACATTATGCCCGGATGGAAACCCTCAAGTTTTGTAGCGCGTGCCCAAGTCCGGCGGCTGGGTTGCAAGGGGGTCAATGAAGCCTGTCACGATTAATGCAGTGTCTTTGGGACTTGGCACAGCTGAAAGGAAGAAATAAGGACTTGAGTGATTGAATAAAATACAACAAGGGGACAAATAAGTATTAGAGGCGATCGAATGCGAGGTGGCACGCTTGCAAGAGCCCGAGGGACTGTCACCACGTCTCAAGATATCGAAGCACCTTTAACGCTGTCAAGTCATTGGAAGCCGTGGTACTTTTGGAATCTCTTAGGTATCTTTCGTTTATATCTTGTATCTTTTGTGCATTACTTGCCAAACTATGGGCTCATAGTAGGCTTCCCCATCAATGGCCTTTAAAGATGCCATTCTCCAGACCATCGCGCTACTCATCTGAGCCACGACAAATCGAACGGTCACACACGCACCATGTTCCAAAGAATTGACAATATCCTCGTTCATAATGTAACTAGAAGTTCCTATCGCGTCGTTCCCAGGTTGCGATAAGAGAACAATTCGAACGCTATCGCGCCCCGAGTCTCGCGTATCGAGGAGCTCACCGGGAACGATTCTTAACAGATCAACGAATTTGACACGCTCAATGGCGTCATGGCAACACAGTGAAGTACCTTGGTCCAAATTGTGCCGGTCGTCTGATTCTATGGACTGAGTGGATGGTCTGAGGTCATGGCGCGCCTCCAGCCCTTTTGCAGTCTGAACAGTGCCTGCTGAGGTATCTTAGTCGTGTACAGGCAATCCTGAAGAAATTTCTGCTCCGTTATCTTGATATGTTCATCTGGAGGCCTTCTTCTTGACTCGTCGGCCTTGAAAAGATGTAAAGCCAAAATGTGACAGGCCATCTTCATCGACCTTGTTGAACCGCATGCTCACAATCGTTGTCTTACGATCAGCTTCCCCGCAAAAGATCGTGTTCACATTCTTACCCTTCTCAAGAAGAAGCTGGGCGATTGCTCGAATTGGAAGATGACGTAGAGAAATGCAGCAGAGGTCGTCCATCCTGATGAGCTTCATACTTACCTGCTGGGCTGAGAGCATGCTTGACGAATGCATGCATGCTGTTTGCAAGGAAAGCTACGTTCCAAATTTTATCCTTCGAACCCTAGTCTCAATCGGCATCCTTCGATATCTCGCATTCAATCCGACTGAGAAACCTAAATACTGGCCAGCTCAAAACTGCTACCGGCATGTTCATGGCCTTCTCGGCACTGTCGTCCGATCTTGATGTCGTTCTCCGTAGTCTAGAATTATAAATAAAGGACGTCGCCATAAGGCCTGCTCGAACTCGCTGTCTGGTTGACTTGCTGATCAGATCCTACCAGAAAATGCCACTCAAGAGAAGACTAAGGGTGTTCAAGACTTGATGAACGTGAACTCGAATTAGTGTTTCACGGCCTAGTTATTGACGGAGAAGGAAAGGAAGCGTGCCTCCAAAGGCCAAAGAGCACATCAGAAGCAGCTTTATTCGGCTGAAAAAACGTGCAGAAGGCGCTCGCATTGACATAACGCTCAGATCCAGGGGGTCAACAGCTGATTCCAAGAATCAACATGCGCTTCCTATCCTTGAGGCTGACTCGGCTCAAACATAATCAGGTCATGTGCACCCTTGGAAAGAATGGCGATGAGAAATCTCCGACTTGAGGCCTCCCTCAGGGCTTTCCATCATGGAGCTGGACAAGTACTGCATATGTATTGGGCAATGAGCCCTTAAAGGGCTCCAGTGCTGACGAGGGGCGCGGATAGCTGATCAACCACTTCCAAGTCATGTAGCCCGGCAAGATTGAATGCCATAACCTTTGACTCCCAATGCCCCAGGTTCCTGCTCCCGCTAAGCATGCAAGGATTACGTGCAGGCCTGATTATATTGCTGGTGATAGCCCCCACTGCTCCTGAAGTCCGGCACTGTCATGTGTTGCTGTAATCGCCGCGCCCTCTAGCTCTGTCCTCACTTGACGTATGGCTCAATTGCTTCTAAGACTGATCTCAGTCCCTCTTATTGTGACTGGCGCTCTTGTCTTTCCACGTGGCTGATGTCGGTTTACTGAGCCTTCATCTGTGTCCATGAATGGAGATTTATGCCAATGCGCCAGGGTCTAATGAGATTACGGACTGGAAGACATAAGGCGTGCAGCTTTTCAGCTCCTTTTGTCTCAAGCCTCGCGATTTCAGGGCGACCGTTCAAGGCGAGCAGAAGCTGCTGGATTGGTGGCTGGATTGACCGGGGACAGTATGTTTCACGCTTGTCACACGCTCTTATTGGCGCCAGGTTCATACACTGCGATGGATGATACCCGAAGGATCTGGCAGTATTCTGGAAGTGTCTAAGAAGTATCGGGATCAACTTGACCATCGTATGTCCTAGCGTCAAGTGTAGTGAACTTATCAGCAATGCACACCTTCGCCTCGCTAAATCTCAGTACTCCACACCTTAGGGTTCACTATTACTCTTTCTGGACTTAAAGCACATCGTGATTTGTTCTAGCTAGGGCCAGCTAGGATCAATCTCAACGGGCCGAACCTTATCCTGAAGCTGTGATTGACAATTGCGCAGACGGGGCCATCATAGAAATGTTTAATAAAAGCGGCTGAGAATTGCAAGAGATATCAGCGATCTGTATTGGCTACTTGTTGATACTCTATGTACAGTATTGTTGCATAGTTTGAAGCTGGGGTGGGTATTAACAACAGCGCGATGCTTTGTTGATGGAGTGCCGGATCAGATCCTTTGTGTAGATAAAGCCCCAAACAGTCAGTCAGGCATGGGCTCAATTAAAATCTCGATAGACCATCTCGTTATTTGCAATATAGTTAACCAGAGAACTATCCAGCGATCCCTTCCGCCTAATAGACCCCACAGCTGGTGGCTCACATGACGCGCCTCGCACGCACATTGATCAAGTGCGCGTGTTATGAACTTCGATAACCCGCCTACAGTAGACCGAAACGATGCGGCTGTGTTTTCTTTCCCAGCCCATCCAGACGAGCCCCCATTTTGGTGAAGCCCTGTGTGTCTTTGAGATCTACCTGTCTCCCGCCTAGTATAGAATCATCATCTCCTCGCTCCGGGACGCATACTTCCGTGCCTCATACTGACGCCTATATAGCCAAATTGATAGCGATATCTCACTGCACCAGAACATTGACCAGGCTTATAAGGATGGCGGACGTGCTTAGCTGGACGCCTATCTCAGACGGCAGGGAAGAATTCGCCCTGGTCATTTTGGGCGTGAGGTATTGGACCTTCCCAACATCAATAGTTCTGAGCTTTCACGGATTCCCAAATATCGACATCACTAGTTACCGAGATAAACATATTGGGGGCCTGAACCACCCGGAACAGCAACATGTTGATCTCATCCACCAAGTCCTTCTGAAAACCGCTTCCGTGCCATTCCACGGATTTCGCCCTAGGAATTGCTCACGCACTTTTCTGAGACTTTTATGGGACCAGGCGTCTCCTCTAAGGCCCCAACTCCAATGTTTCCAATGCCTTCTCGCTTGAATCCCTTCCAAGCTCCGACCGACAAAGCCTTCGGGGCTGTATAGTCGCGGCTTGGTCACGGTCCTATGCCCCCTTCCAGCTCGCCTGATTCTGTCGGGTGGGCTATAAGAATGTTGTGGTCTGGCTTTGGGCTCTGGCTGTGCAGTTGGCCGATGATGATCTTGCTGGTAGATATAATCCCTGGTTTTCCCCGAGGACTGTGCGCAGTCTCGAACCAAGTTATGGATTGGCAGAGTGTCTGGACAAGCTCTCCTACCAGCTAAGTACCTTACGTGAATTTGGCTGACTGGGCCCATCTCGGAGCGCATCTACGTATTTCACTAATATATCATTCGACTTTTCTATGGCGCTGCCTACCGTATAGCAAATAAGATCGTCGAACTTAGCGCTACTCTAGAAGTAGAAGCCCTCTACTCACCTGACGATGTGATTAGCTGTGAGGGCAAAAGAAGCGCAATTCTGCAGCCCATAAAATCAAGAACATGAAAGGAATATAAAATCAGCGTCGTCAGAGAACGTCAATTTTGAATCTCATCCGGTAAGTTACTGGTCTCGTTATAAATGTTTGTTATCTATAACCTCGAAAGTGTTCACACACAATTTAGCATTAGGCCCATCTCAAGAATCGCGTCAGCCGCATCCTCAAAATGGGAGCATCCAGCGGGAAATTTATTTTTTCAATTGCTCTTCTTCTTCACAAATTTAGCATGGCACAGGAGCTTCGTCCCTCTGTATCGCGTGAAAAAGGACCTGTTTACTCATTGCTGTTTCAATCGCACAACTGAACTTCACCTACCCTGTAGTTCACAGCTGAGTATTTTGAGCTGCTGAATTTGCACTGAGAAGAAATTGTCGCGCCTGAGGTGTGAGTGGAGCTTTGCGATAAAAATAGGCTGCGGAGAGCTACTTGCTCATGCGGGCAAAATGTGTGGCGATATAAGTATACCTTAGCAGATCAGTAGCGCGGGGTAAAAGCTATGACTGCACATGACCTTCCACGTGACTGGAGCTTCTGAGATCTTGCGTCATTCTGTTTACCGACGTCATTGCCCGCGTTCAGCGTTCATCATCAACCGCGCCGTACCTGATTTCCGTTGCAGCATGTAACACGCTAAGGACTCTATCTTGAAGCCGGCTGGATTGACTCGAGTCTCAGATGGTACGTGTGCTTATCTTGTTCCACCTGACCCTCTCAAGCATGCGTCAGTTGCACCCTCGACGCGACAATCTCTTGGTCTGAGCGACGATATGCCTTTATCGCAACCGACCTCCCCTTGTCCCTTACATTAAAGCTCAACCGCATTCTACTACGATGAAGCCACTAACTCCGCTTGATTAGGGATCGATGGCTCTTGATGACAGGAGCAAGCGAGGCGCCGAGATGGCACCAATTCTCGATTGATCGATCCTACGGCTTTCGACTGCCTCGACTCAGGAAACCAAGCAACCTGCAAATCTCAGTCAATACAACAGGCCTGTGATGGCAATTCGGCTACAGACTACAGCGACCCTCCCTCGACATGCCCCATTGCGCCTCCTCGGTCAGATTATGACCTGTGGCTTTCCGTATTGCACAGTCCACGAAGTCTTTACCATCCCACCAAGTCATCCCGTTTCGACGTCAACCCGAGCTTCGCCATTTGCGCAAACACCATGCGAAACCCCCCTTTCCGAGTCATAATTCTCAGTCAATTGCACACCGTTCAACCTCAACAGGCGACACTGGGACAACAACAATTCAGCATGTCATCTGACCGGCTTAGGAGTGGAAACGTTCTGCCATTGCGCACATGGTACGCCGTGTCACCCCATTTAATCTTCGCGAAGATTTATTTGCCGATTTTGGCGTAGCCGGCACTGCCCCTACTCTCGTATGGCATCTCTTGGATGATCTCGGAGCTTTGTACACTTGTTCAGCTCACTAAGCACCGATATCCCCCTGTTTACGAATCCCCTCTTCTTCCTGCCCGCCGAAGGGACGAGAGTCTCAACCCGATCACCCGCCTCCACGGTAGTGGAAAGTCAAACATCCTCGATGGGATACGTTTCGTTCTCGGAATTACAAACATGCCAATTATTCGAGCGTCGAAGGGACGAGAGTTTCAATTCGATCACCGATCTCAACGGTAGTGGAGAGTCAAGCATTCTCGATGCGATATGTCTCGTCAATTCGATCACCGGTCTTAACGGAAGTGGAAAGTCAAACATCCTCGATGTAATCTTTTTCGCCCTCGGAATTACAAACATGCCGACGGTTCGAGCGCACAGGGGACGAGGGTTACTATTCCCCAACGGCAGTGGAAAGTCAAACATTGATGTATGTGAACAGGCAGGGACTGCAGCGACGATGCATTGTAGCACCCGAGGACGAGTATGACATGGCAGAGGAGGCGGGCGCGTATCTTCAACTCGTGCGGAGTTTCGTTCTAGGAATTACAAACATGTCAACGTTCGAGCGCAAAATCTACAGGTCAGTCACTGCCGGTCCAGCCACCCTTCGTCCCAACTAACGACAGTACCGAGACAGAGATGTGATTGTCGTTCTTCTGCAACGCTTTCGGCGGTCGGGGCCGCGATGGAATCTTGTGTCGGATTGAGATCACTCCTTCGTGGTCATTACACCCACGATGACCATGGCCGCGGGACTCAAGGCCAGCACTGACGAGTCCACTTGCCGCTGTCGGGATTGTCCCGAGGTTGCCTGCTTACGGTCATGGGAATGACAGGAACCATGTCTTCGAACCCCACAGGCGTTCTCGGATATGCCAGAGGATGCTGCTACTGTTCAGGAAGCAACCCGACCGCCGCCCTAGGACCTTACACATCCGTACTCAATCAAGGCCGCATGCAAGCACCGTCGCTCGAACCCCTACCCGACGACAAAGATCTCAATGGTGCGCCCGATTCATATCTACGCCTTCGAACCAAGATGCCTTGCACTTTCGCCCTCTCTTCCTCTCGTCGTCGTTTGCTCCAACGCACAGCCTCACGCACAACCACCAGCATCGTTACCTATGTCGCAGAGACCGCGGCAGACACAAACACAAGCTAGTCAACGATCCCAGGACCAACCATCAGTGCCCATTGCTAAGACTTGATGCAACCATTCGGCTTCACGCGCTTGCAGCCCAAGCTTCTTGGGACGGAGCATGAGCTGAAGGGTGGGCACAGGTTCCCAGACGGATTCGTGGGTCTCGTCCAGCCTCGTTGGGTGTAAGCATGACAAGAGCGTTGCCCGCCTACTACAAGGCAAGCTCACAGACGTCTCAGCTCCATTGTAACCCCAGGGAAAACGGATATCGAAAATGCAAACGAGATGGCACGAATCGAGATCATGGGAAGAATTACGGAATGCCAAACTCAGTACAGTATCAACGGATGCGCTAAGATCGATCGTCCCGCGCTCAGAGGAGCATGCGAAGAGGGGGGGGGGGGGGGGTCCGGAGCTTCAAGGACATTCTCTGCACATCAAGCATCGCGATCAAGACGACAGAACTTCATCTCCATATCGCAATATGCTCAACCATCAATCCAACAGTCGGCATCATCTTCATCTTCGACTCTTCCTTTGGCTGGTGATGCATATCCTGTCCAGCCGTATTGTCTGTATCAATGTCGTCCCCCGACTCTCCCTTTACCTGTCAATCCTCGTATTTTTCATCATCCAGGTCGAACATCAAGACTTTCACCACGCCACTGCTACGCAGAGCTGTCAGTGGGCGCCGGAACGCCGAAGACCGAGCCGGATCTCGAGTGGGAAGCCTTTGGGTCCTCGTACGGAATTACAATATTGCTGTTGGTGCAGGCCTCTCTGCACCATGGTCAATATCGGCGACCAGTCTTGCTGCCAACGCCAACAATTCGGGGCTCGATCGCCATCATTAACCCTCTATTAGCCAGTCCTTCCAACACCTCACTTCAAGGACCGATATCGTTGGCTTCGATTGCCCTCCAAGGTTGCTTCCGATGGAAAGCATTGTGATGATCTGGTTCAGCTCAGATCCTCTCAGCTGGTCCATGCCCGTCTCGGTCAGCATTACAACACTTGGAGCTGATGATGCTCTGTTTGAACTCGTCAATTCCGCAGCCCTACACATCTGACATCAACGTGCATCCGATATCGAGCCCTGTCGGATTGCGTCACCGATCTTATTCATCTCATTTTGGCTGCTACGGACCGAGCTCGACATCTCGAAGCAGCAACATTCTCCCGCCCGCGGCAAATATTCTCCATCCTCGCCCACTGCAAGCTTAGCTTCATCTTGACCAGCATCTCCGACCTCCTCCGCTCGCAGACGCGCATTCGCACCGAATCGTTCCACAGGCGTCTGCTGCTTCCCTCATCATATCGTTACCTCCGAACCACCAAGCCCCGGCTTCGACTTTCTGCCCCGTACCGACCGCCCTCGAATTGCTGCGATATCCTCTTGTACAGACAGCGAGCGATGTGAGACCTTACTACCGAAGTCCCTCCCGTATGCGCGTCCTATTACAGCTTGACAAAGCATCGCCATCTGAGTTACAGCCTTTCCATCACCGTACGCGTCATCTTCGACGATGTCACTGAGCATCACCGCGAAAGAACATCACCCTCAGAAACACCCCCCGAACCCGGCATCGTGCAGTACCTGCCGTCACGATCGTCACCGAGGCTCCGGCTCCAGTTGTGAGCCCGACTCGAGTTTCGATTACAGCTTCGAGCGCGGAATATGCAGTGACGCTGTATTTGTTGCAACTGATTACTGGGATATTAACATGACGGCCCAAGATGCCAAGGTCGAAGCCATAGGTATTCGAAGACGGGATATATCCAGATGTTGGAGGCTTTGCGTCAGATTTCTCCTTTTGACTGCTGATCAAGGCGAGTCAATTACGGTCACTGAACCATCGTGATTACAAGACCGCTGTTCAGGAGAATGGCGGCTCACCGATGAAGGAGAAGTCGCTGCTCGTCAGCAACAGGACTCGGGGCTCCTCTTACAGCTTCCAGGAAGACAACCTCTATGATCAGCAGCACTCGCCTAACCTCAAATAGTCTCTAAGCCTTATGCATCCCAATTGTCAAGGAGTTTACAGAGCATTTAGCTCCAGCTTGTGGCTATTATTACCGTAGTTAATCCTCTGCCTCAACTTCTGCACTTACAGATCGGTCGTCCTTCACACCACCAAATCGCTTCCAAGCAATACCGCTCAAGCAATTTTAACCCAAGAGTACGATAGGCTCGTAGTAGGTGATAGACGCATTTACGCATATGGTAACCACAAGAACCCCAAGAAGAGTCAAAGGAGCAGTAAGACGGTGTTATCACCTAATCGTTAAGGATGCCCAGTTTTGGACAAGGAGAGGGAGCCGTGCAGGAAGGCATCGAATACAACAGTCACCCCCAACTCCAAGGCGCACCCAAAACTAACGGCCGGCACACAAGGTGTCACCAATCGCTCGCAAGGCATGCCATTCCAAAAGGCGCTATCGCCGTTCATGTCTCACCTACCAACTGAGCGACGATATCGGATGGCTGCCGTACCACGATCAGCTCCCGGATCGACCAGCAGCTACATTCCACGACGCCAACGATAACGACGACTCTTTTTCTCAACCGGCTACATTTCATGACGACCTCTTTTCTCGAGTATATGCTGTCGAGGCGCATCGTTGACCGCCGATGGGTATTGCAGAAGGGCTCGGTGGCGTTGGAGCGCGCTCGGTTCAAGGGACAGATTCTCGGGGACCCAGTCGGAGTCCACTGCAGCAACAGCGCCCATTCATCCATGCCATCGGTCACTGCTGCCTCCCGCGCGCCAAACTCGCCTTCGTATCAAGAGGTACATCCATCAGATGCTTACACAAGCCGAACAGATTGGTTGCCTTGGCGAGACCAGACCCCCGAGCAACCTACTCCAACATGGCCGGGCGGAAATCCCCATTCGTGATGCCTTCCCCATGTGCAGGGACCTCATACGGGACGAGAATCCTGGCGTTGGTCTTCACGAGAGCCAAGATTTAGTGCTTCTTTATGGCCCACGATGTGTGATGGTGCGCGTCTACCGTGTTTGGGTGGCGCAGCTTGCAGCAAGAGGATCAGGGGCCAGTACACCGCGATCACCACAGCTGGGTCAAGTTGGAGGAAGGAGATCAACAACATTGACCACTGCTCCATCGACGTGGGCACCGTGACATGTAGTGACTCATTTCAACAGAACCCCTGAAACATCACCACGGACATGAACTTCTCGGTGAAGTCCCCTTGGCGAGTGAAGCCTCCATCTCTGGCTTGGTGCCTCAAGTTCCTCGGGATCCTTCTGTTGGTGGAGAATGTGACGGGGGATGGGAGCAGGCCGGCTTGTCGGGGGTAAGCTTCAACAGGTAGGGTGGACTCGGAAATGGTCCGGGGAGGTCATCACCTCCGGCCCAGGAAATGGAGCCAGAATCTCGTCTCGGGCTTCACGAGACTTCTGACCGTTGACCTTCCTCAGACCGACTATGCGTCGCTTGAGGAACTTATCGACTACTTGCATGACATCTCTGCGGAGCAGGAGGGGTGTTTAGGGTTGACGTCCGATTCGACCAGAAGCAAGACGATAGAGTAGGTTCTCCTTTGTACTTGTTGAACAGATGGAATACTACCTTATTCTTATGTACCTTCCAATGCCTCCCTTCTGTTTGACTTCCTTGTTGGTGCTCATGTTACACAACTGCGTCTCGTGCCGTTTCCTGCTGGAGATCCTGTTTTTATGCTCCTCGAAAGGGTCACAGTCCAAGCCCTGAGCCAAGACGACTCGCTGCACTACTCACCGAGTTTTTGTAACTCTACATCCCTTCACCCCGCTGGCCAAGGGCACCATCCTCAAAATCAGGGTGCTCAAGCCGTCTCTCGGTATCTCTGGGGCTTCAATGAACAAACAGGCAGCGAGCAACCGAATGACCCTCCTGTGGGCTTGTATGTTCCTGGCTTATCGACGGATCACAAGCCATGCGGCATCGAATTCCCCAAATTTTATTTTTCTCTTGCTTCCGTCGCACAGCTTTCGCCTTCTCCCTTTCCATCATTCATCCTCCCTCGGCCCGTCATTCCCATGCATCATCTGCCGCTTGACAACAGTGCGTCTCCCCGCACCAACATACACTTTGCCCCTCCAGCTACTTGTATTCTGACAAGTTGACCGAGCGTTGATTTAAATGGAGCGCAACGGGTACATGAGGCTGAGGAGGCTTAAGTGTCAAGCGCGGTTGTTTGGTTCTCGATGTGCACGTAACTCGCTTGGGAAACGCAACTTGCGTTTCGCGTTTCGATGTCTCAATGTTCGTAACGCACATGAACTCCCAGTGAGTTGTGTTGATTCGGAGTTTGCCTTGAGTGACGCTGGCCTTGTATGGCTCTTCATCAACCGGGATCTATAGGGGAACTTTCCATAGTGCAGGGTCAGGCGTGAAGTTGGAGATGGTTGTTTCATTTTGCTCTGTTTCTTGGGATTGTTGGCCCGATGGGATCTTGATTGGACTACCGGGGCTGCGCTTTGGCTGGAAGGAAGAGACTAGACATAAGGGTTGTTTTCTCGAAGAACATGTGGTGTTTCGGGTCGACGACTGTGGTAGCGCTGCAAGTTGGTCAGTCACCAACTGAGGGACTTGTAACAAAGAACTTGCCATGGCAGATAACCGAATATTCCAGTTCCCTGAGTGTCCTTCATATGATGAACCAGACTGTTTAGCAATGATGTATACGCCGGCAGTTCCAGGTTGCCATATACCTCCCAAACACGACACAATCAAGCTCGTCCCGTGACCCAAGCAACATCATCGACAGACGTCTTTGGAAGGAGATTCCTAGGGGCTTCACCCATCGTGTCGTCACAGAAATCGTGCCCATCTAGCGTTTCTGTCAATGCTCCCCGTCAAGAGCTCTCTGCAAGTCGCTCTGGTGAGGTCAGAAGAGTTGGCTGCGCCGGCTTTTGAGCGAGGAAGACCGAAGGGTATAGTATGGGAGTCGAATCCAATGCGAGGCGAAAAGCTGCCTTTGCAGAGAGGAAGGGCAAGACTCGACTTGTCGCATCCTGAGTCGCTGATGCAGACGGGCTTGGCGATGTGATCCTAAGGGCTTCGAGTACCGTTCTTTGCAGTTTTCACAGCGGCGTTGAGCTTTTGATTTGATAAGAGTGGATGGAGTAGTAGCTTTATGCTCCAAGGTTCAAATGAGATGTTGAAGAAGTAGTCCGCGGTTTCCAGAACCATGCAAGGCAAGCCTGGAAACCTCGAGGCTGGTGAAGGAACCTTGGTCTACCTGCTGCTATCGGTGGAAATGTCGATAGTTAGACTAGGTTTCTGCTGTCTTCTTCCCCCTTTGATTGGTCGCAGACGTACCTTTGCTGTCGATGTTGCCTCTTTTTGACGGCAGACTCGTATGAGAGGTTTGTTGTTGTGCTTCGGAACGGATGTGCTTGGCAAGGCTGAGGTGGATATTCGTGAGAAGGACCCGGGATCTTGTACTTTTTCGCACATAATGGGGAGGCCAGAGTTTGCTCAGGAAGCTCATCGTATATCAAGATATTGTTCTGGGTACGCTAGGTCCAGTCGGCAGGCGTAACAGACAGTCTAGTGCTGTCGCTTGAAGTCAGTCGACGCAGCTTGTCTGGAAGCTCGTGCGTGTCAGAGACATTCTCAGATAACAAAAGGCAAAACAATGAAGGACGAGTCCTCTCTAAAGATTGGAGGAGATAAAGCTTGGGGTTCGTGTTCTGCGACGTTCTTTTCCGATGCACTGCCTCGTGGTGGCAGCTACTTATCGCCCTCGACTAACGGTTTCAAGGAGGAATGACTTGGGGAACCTCTGGATCGGGCCATGACATCTGGGTCATGAAGGACCTCAGAGAGATGATGACTTTTCTTATTGCTCGCCAATACCTATTTCCATGCTTCGCATGATGACTTATCTTGACCACCTGTACTGTGTGTTTCATATCTGCAGCCTTGATTGACTATTCTAACCCGGCCACCATCGCTGAAAAGTATTTTCAATAATGTTTCTGCCTTTCGTAACGTCGTATATACTAACTAACAAGGTCAAAGCGCCACCGACTATTCCTGCTATTTGATCCAATTCAGAAACGTTAATCTCTGTATTTGGAAAGAAAAGGCTAAGTTGAAGCATAATAAAGAGTCCTTTATGAGGATTCTCGATGGGCGTGCCGAATATAAAATCTAGGGGCAGAAACTGTGTAGCCACCTCAATCCACGCAAGAGGAAGTATGAGAAGACATTCCGGTCCCTCATTATGGAGAAATTGTATGGTGCTGCGGAAATATTGTCGTATCAGGACAGACGGGCTTCGATAGGCTTTGATAAGCCACCCGTGGAGTTGCTTGTATATATGTATGACTTGACGGAAGAACCATGTGAGCGATGATACCATACCAAGTAACATCAGTGGAAAGAAATAGAGGAACATGACTTGACCCCCTAATACATATAAATGCAGGAGTACATAAGGTAAGGCATCGTGCTGCCAGGATTTGTAGAAAAGTACACCCCAAACACAACTTGACCATAAAAAGCCGCTAAGTAGTGCCAAGGTGGTTGGTGATATCCGCCCTGCATCGAGTTCGTGATGTAGCGTCGAGATCAATCCACATATCACGAGCATCGTGAAAAGCTCGAATACTCTCAGTGCCGATGCAATATGTGCTCCTCTGTTATGGATGCTTGATTGATCTTCTTCCATGATAGTCGAGTCCGTATCTTGAGATATAGACGGAATCCAGATAGACACCATAACATCCCGAGTCAGAGAACATTTAAAAAGAAGGTATATAAGGTGGCAGGAACTGAGTAGTGGGTAGAGCATGCAGGCGATGAAATCGTTGGTAATAGCGATGCTGGTGGCCCTGAACCCGGTTTTCGAGCTGTAGCGCCAAGTAACAATGACAGAAAGAATTATGAGATACCAGCCGCAAAGGGAGCCAGGCCCATAATATGAGGATACATCTGTACATTGGGAAGAAGCTTGGTCTAGTGTCGAGTTGTTATACATGTCTTAATTTCAGGTACGGATCTGGTTTCCCTCTATTATGTTAACTCTCTGTCAATGGGTGGCATTCTTTTCATAGAGTTATATATCATTGTCCTTAATGCCTAACCAAACGTTCAGGCAGCCAAAGACGTCAGTGACAGGACGTCGCGAGGCTGCTCAGATCAACTGCTCAGCCACCTCTCTACCCACCATCCGCCGTCAAACCTCAATTATATACCTAGAGCGTGGTAGATAGAGACCAAAATTGTGAAAGAATGGTGCTTCGTTAAATGCTGCAATATGGGAGCCTCCACAAGGCTATGCGGGTGATAAAAAGTGGCCAAGGAGAACCAGGGGGTCTGACCAGAGGGGCATTGTTCTGAAATGACATTACTGTAATTTGGCTGCATGCATTTGGCGTCAGCACCGCCGCGTATTGGGCAGTAACCCAATCCAAGGCAAATAAATCCAAATCGGCCGAGTCTTCAAGCGCGAGATACCCATACCGAGCAACGGCCAAGACGAACGCTTTTTGCCTGGCCCTAGTGTAATCCATTTCCTAACTTACTCTCCGACAAGATGGGGCGAAGTCTTTGCACTTTATATGGCACCTTTGAGGTTTTGCACCTAGCTGCATTTTCGTCTTTTTCGGGGCCCTATCTTGGGACAATCCTCCTCATCAACACCAGGCTTCATCGTCCTCTCCGCTGTGTTGCTACCGCACACTTGTGGTTGATCCAGATAATGTGTCAGTTCTTGATTGGCTTGATGTATGCATACAAGTCTGACCATCCTACCTACTGCTGCTTTTTGCTTGTACTGATCGGACAAAAGGTAGGGACTCATGGCGTATGGGGGGGCACCAATAATGCGTGTTTGTCAAGGATTGGCTTGTTGGCGATGTATAAGGCTTGCAACTTCAGTGGCTGCGCCTGGCAAGGCATACATTAGTCAGACGCAGGACTCAACTCTTTGTAATTCCCCCGCACTCGCGACGAGAGGCTTATCAATATCGCAGTGAACCTCACGGCAACTGTCAGTCAAATGGAGCATCCAACCACACTCAACCTACAAAAAGACTCTTGTTGCTCCCCTTCCGTTGATGGTTAGTTTCCACCGCTTTTTGGCTTTCGAAACGGAGTTGATCTTGTAGCCACAGCTCTGACATATTGGAACAGGTCACCAGGGCCAATGCATCTCAGAAAGTGCAAACTTCAGTCCCAATTAGCTGCCTCTTCTGTATTCCGAGACAAACAGTGATGAAACCTGTTTGCCGCGAAGAGCTTCGACAGCGGCAATGGCGTCGTTGGTTCTCAGGTTTTTGATCGCATTGGCGCCCCTACCTGTGCTTTCACTCTCATATCTCGCTCCCCTCCACATATCTTGCACCGCATTTGCGTATTTGAGGGACAATTTCCAGAAGTTACCGGCGCTTCCTCAAAACGAAAAGGCTTTGAAGCTTTGAACGTAAAGTGTAGAATACAGAATACAGACAAGGTATCTTGATAAAACATGGAGATAGATATTGGCGAATAATAAGGAAATTCCTTGTGACTCCGAGGACGTTTATCCAAAAGGAGCACAAGAGAAAATGGACAATCGAAAAGCTCTCGTGCTTATCCTAGAGATTTCAGTCCGGGCTGTAAAGGCCTTGCTCCTACTCCACCACCACCACCTCCTCTCCCTTATCCATAGCTAGCTCCACGCCACTGCTTCCACCACAAAATCCTCCAGCGAGCTTCACCAAGAAGGGTATATCAAGAGACCTAGCTTGAACCGCTAGGTCGTCAAACTCCCTCTGGATCTTCTCCCTCTCCACCCTGATCTTCCTCTCCTCTCTGTCCAGCTCAGCGATCTTATCCTTCCCCTTCTGAAAGCCTTCTCTGGTCTTGATCCCCATTTCCAAGATGTCAAGTTCTCTCTCCCTTTCCACCAAGTATCCATGCTCCTCTTCATACCCTATTCCTGTTAGCTGAATATCTTCTTGGGAATTCGCTGCTTCCTTACATCCATCTTTATACCACTGTGTGCCAGCAGCCAGGCGAGTCTTGCTCGCCTCATGAAGAAGTTGAATGACTTCATACTGGTGTTGAAGGTCTTCAGGGACCAGTCTTAAAAGCTGCACCTGGATAGAATTCGACTCCACCCCGGCTGCCCTGCGAGGCCTTTTGGCCGGGCGAGGTAGCTCGCTAGTGTCCTGCTGAAAGGGTCGCTTCAGAGTTGATCGTGTATTCATGGTTGGTTCTTCCTGGAGCTGGCGCATTAATCAGTGATTGGGATGGAGAGAATTTGAAGGCTACTTACTTGTAGAGACGGGTTTGTGGTTGTGTATAAAAAGGGGGTATAGCTTTGGTTTAATGCTATGTAGGTGATAATAAAGAAGAATAAGATGAGAAAGGGAGAAGGTAGAGAACACTAAGAGGATATGTTGTATTGTCTTCTCTCGTACACTGGTCCGTTACTTATTATCTGTAGTTGTCATCTTAGTGTCTGTATATGAAGTTGAAGAAGCAAACTATGTAGATGGTGCCGAAAACCTCCCGTGTCCCATGCGGGCTGCCGATTGCGAGGAATTGGATCAGAATATCCGGGGAAGTCTGTCCCATAGACTTGTCGTGTACTACCTCGGAACATGGATGCTCAACTTCCGCTGCAGTATACCCCACGAAGCCTTTCTGAGGCGAGTGGAGGGGCAGATGATGTCGAGAAGCTCAACGGATAATGGATGCTGGCGTAGGGTCGGTCCATTTTCTGGTGAAGCTGTCCACTGCATCGTTGAATAGCTGCACGCAAATTCGTGACAATTGAGAGAGGCTATACGTTAAGGGACTGGCCATGAGGCTGGAAGGATTAGCTTGGCTTTCAGAAGTCTTTGCCCACATGGTAAAGCAGAGGAAGCAGAATGTATTAAATTGCACAGCCAATGGAGCAAAGTCGTCAACGTAATGTACCTCAACGTCCGCACCGTTGGTGAAGCTATCAAGATTACTTCTACTACGACTATTGACCTATTGAGGATCTTTGACGAGTAGGTGTCTTGGTGCATCCATCGTCTTCTGCCTTTCATCAGGCTCTCCAGCCGGATTCCACGCCTGATGATGCACCTCCGGTCGCAGTCCATTCCAGCTTTCGAGAAATTTCACATCCTGACTTACAGAGCCCAGGTTGATTCAAGTTGGCAGCACATCAAACGATGTTCAATAATATTGTGTCGATATTTCTCCACCCATTCGAGCTAAGCAGCATACAACTACGTGGACTTCCATCTCAGGATAAGGCTTCCGATACCAAGGTTGAATTGACGTCCTTCGTTTTCGTATTTGGCTTTCCAAGTCCCCAGAATCCGACACCAAACACAATCAGCCACGGTCAAGACGGGTTCCAAACGGAAGATGCCCATCGTGAGTACCACGACGAGGCACGTCCCCGATTACACGTGAATGCCACTCCCACGCGCCACCCCCACCAAAGAGTGCCGTTATAGAATACACTCCCCACGGGGTATTAGAGGCGGGAACCCGTTTACGCCAACTTCACGCCAAACGCGATCTGACACCCCCAAGATGCAGGTCTTCACGCCCCTCTACATACTTGCATCACACAAGACACTCCCACGTAAGACTTTGTCGTTCCGACTGTCATCCGTGCGTTGTGAAGACTATCAAACAGCGTTAGTAGGCACTGAAGCTGACTTGCAAACGAAGGTGAAGCAAATTTACATCCTTGTAATACAGCCGGTCACAAATACACTGGCGGAAAAGTCTCTTTGAGAAAAAGAATCTCATATCGACACTAGCGATAGCTCCGACAAGAGACCAAAAGCCATAGAAACAAGGCGTCCTGCCCTCAAGTAGGTGCCAGGTCTCAGAATGTTCGCCTTTTTACCGCAAGAACATGCATGGCTCACTTGAGTGGCATCTCAAACCTGGCCAATATTCCAGGCCATCGTCCTTCAGGCTCATCAATCTTTTTACATCGTATGCTTGGGTACCACATCCAGGCCATGTGCGTTAATTGACGTATGGGCGATATCGGTGGCTTGAGTGAGGACTGCAAGCTCAACATGTAAGTCGATCCATCAAGCGGCCGTTCATGAACGACTTGAGGATCAGGTACCCCAAGCCCTATAACTATGGTGGCTATGCCTTGTGAATATCACTCGTTGGTAGTCCAAGCTTCCTTGGCTACTTTGACTGGAGGCTAAGCGATTTTGCTCATACTACCGGTGGGATGCCTGGTACTCAAGCCTCTGCTGGAATACTAGAGTTTTATTCGCTTCAGTTAGTTGGGAAAGCTCGAGGCGGTTGAGACGGCTTGTGGACAACTGCACTTGGAGATGGAAGATGCTGAAAAACGCCCGTTCTGAGCTGGATAAAGTGTTCCGAGAACGGCATTGACCATGACGATAATCAACAAGCTCATCAGAGTCTAAAGGCGCTATAGGATATCATCAGGCAGGACCAAACCGCCATTGATCCCTCTGGGGAAAGAATACTGCCGATGAAGCAATAGGAGGAGGGTTCGACGCCTATCAAGCTGCTTTTCTAAAGAGCTATATAGACTAATTGACTATGTATCTAATGGTTTACTGGTAAATAAGTTACATAAGAAAATATTGGCAAGGTCAGATGCCCTCGATGATCGTCAATCGTGTATCCACGAGGTAGCCTCCTAACTAATGAACACCACTTGACCTACCACACTCAATTGTCTGTCGTCAATATGACAGAGACTTCTTCGTCCAGAGCATACCCGACCCCGGGGTTCCCAATACGCTGCCATTGGAAACAGTAAGACACTGACCACAGTGAGTTTGGGCTTTCGGCGTCTGCATCTGCTATCTCCATGCCTCTCCACCAAACTACCGCAGACACGAGTGGATCTTCAAGCCGTTCAGCAAGAACATGTTAAGAATATCTTACGGAAGTAGTGCCCCCATCTCAGGCATCAATCAGTTGGGGTTCATATTAGGAAGTAGGGACAATACACGCAAGATTACTGGCAAAGCCGTACACCATCCCCTGCGCCATCCTAAGGTGTGTGTTGGTGCCTGAGTTCAAAACACGCCCTTGGCTGAAGTTCCAATGCTGTATTAGAGATGATGTTCGTATGAGTAGATAAACGGTTCCTTATATGGTAGTAAGGAATTGGTATCCTGAAACGTGCGGACTACCTGTGCGTCAGCAATGAGATAGAAGCAAGCAAAGAAACGGCAAACCTCACATCTGTAGGGAATTTTCGGTAATGCAGAGCATGCCAATTACTCGAGAACAACTGTATTATTTGCTGATGACCAGACAAGTATGAAGTCGCGATAACGTGTTGATATTCAACACGTTACAGACCGAAGAGAAGAGCGCGCGGACTGAGGAAGATGTCGCATCCAAGGGCGATGCCTCACCTGACATTCCCAAGTCGTCTTCTAGAGTGACCAAAAGCATCACCGAAAACCCCATCAAGCGCGGTGGCGGAAAACTCCCGAATGATGCTGCGAGACGTCCCGTGGCCATCTTTCCACAGGCGCAGCCTTTCGGAATCTTGCGAGTCTTTCGATGTGACAGAGAGCTTGGCTTTGTACAGCAAGGAGGAAAGTTTGTATATATAATGGTAATAGAACTTGGGGATATCGCAGGCTCATTGTGTCGTGAGGAAATTCTAGCGATGAGCTGACTGCCTGTGTTGTGTACCGACTCGAGTTTATGGCTTGTTCAGCTAACGAGGAATAGTTTCATGTCATGTCAATTGATGCCAACACTGATCGATAGTGGCAATATCTTGTGAAATGAGACATCAGCAGCTACCAATCAGTCAAGTCGCCATCTTGCCGCCGATGGAATCTTGTTTATTTTTTCGGGTCATATTTTGGGTTTCATGCAGAATATGCTCATTCAAATCTGATCATAGATCTGAGTCGTCATGGCCCGGGAAATTGCGTGTGTCAGCCAGTATTTTGGTTGCTTTTGCAAGGAGTCTCTCATTGGAACTTGTATTGCTGTCTCTAATGTTCTGCGGGTTGTCGCCAAACTTGGGAGAAAGAGATTGAAGGAACTGGAGCTCAAGCCGTTATGTTCCGGCCTGGCAACATCGTGCATCATCTGGAGTCTCTCTCTTCGAGGCGCAGACGAACAGCTTGCTGTTCTTTTAGAGCAGCGCTATTATCCGCTCATGAGGTCAATGCCTTCCAGTCTAGCGCCACTGATGACATTGTCATTTTGCAGAGCTACTTTGTTTGAACCCTTTCCTATAATAGCTTTCGAGTCCAGCAGTTGTTCAGTTTGATGGATCGATCTCTGGTGAGAGGTCCTCGTGGTTGAGGAGCATGTGACCGGGTTCCCCTTCCCACGGGCTCGGTGTTCCCTTGAGAGCGCTTGCAGGTCTGCTTTATCATGTATTTGAGGACTGTCGTTCTCGTTGAAGGATTGCTTAGTTATGTGAGTTTCGTAACATCCTCGACTCTCAGGAGTAGGGCAATGACCTCAATGCTGGATCTTACGTGCTACGTAGTCTCCACGGCCTTAGGAGGCACTCGTCGAGTCAAATAAGGAAAACGGAGAGAAGATTGTAATACAGACACTAGAAAATCCCTAGGGGTACAAGTTTCCTAGAGAAGGGCTCTTAGGAGGCGATGCCATCTTATCGAGGGGATGCGGCCTATGGGAGCGAATATGAGGTATTGAAACAAACAGTGATGGACATTGACTCGTCATTCTCAGCCTCGGCCTCAACATGCTCAATCACGGGCTTACTCACCGTCCTCAAGTCGGGCTCGCTCATCGTCCACTTCCATAGCTTCCTGCTCCCCCCGAATTGCCTGCAGAAAACACAGAATATCATCAATATTCTCGTCGGCGATAACCTCCAGAAAAAGCTCTCACCGCTCAGCGCTCCACTCTGCAATCCCATCGACTCCCAGATACAACAGGTCCTTGAGCCCGCCAATGATAGCCGCCTTATCCTCGACCTTTGCCATAGCCTTGTCGTTCTCCTTCTGTTCTCGTCTCACAACGTCGAGGGCCTCAGACCGCTTTGCTTCCTCTCTTTCAAGCGGACGGATCTTGTCGTTGAGCTCTAAAAGACGGGCCTCAACCTCTGATTTATCTCGATCAAGGACAGAAATCATATCTCGGTGTCCTTTGCGCACTGTCTCTAGCTCTTCGTACTTGATCGCTTTTTGGCGGTCACTTTTGGCCTTGACAATGTTCTCGAGCTTTTCCTCGGCATTATCGCGCTCAGAGGTAGCATGTCTCATCGCGGTCCAGGCAAGATAATGGTCCAGACTTGCCGTGCTGTTCTGGCTGGCACGAACTTGCCTTCTGACCCGCTCCCTTCAACTTGCGCGGTCACGGATGCAGGCATGATATTGCCGATACTGACGGCCCTTGCAAAAAGGTCAGGTCTCGACAGACCCAAACAACTCGGCCGCTTCATCGCCACGCACAAGGTCAGGCGTCGAGATCCTTCGGTCGCGTGCATGATAAACTCTTCCATGAAACACGTACGTAGCCAACGGTATGTATTGCCTGCGAGTTTGGTATCTCGACCGATCCCCTGCTCACCCGCCGAGATGATCCGTTCCCGCAGCGCAATGATCAGTGTGCGCTTCAAACGCCATCTCAACGTGTTTCTTGGGCATTCTCAGAACCCTCATTTTACTCCTCACTGACCGACGGCTTCCAGCAGGATTCCCCAGCCGCCCTGAATTGACCATGGCCAAGCTCGAGCTGATGTTACAACATGCTCAACCTCCTGGAGACGTTACTCAACAGGAGTCTAGTTTCATAGCTTGACCTCCTACCAACCTCTGTTCTTTAGCGTTTGGGCGATTTGTTCCAGCGTAGCATTTGTTGGCGTGACTCTACTCTGTCGATCGGTCTTTCAGGCTCGGCGACCATCACAAACCTGGAGCGCGGAAACCACTTGTTTGACTCCCGCATCAATGCGTTGGAAGCTCTACTGGTGGTACCCGGATGATCAATATCTTCTCATGAATAGTTCGTAGGTGACTCAGACCAATACAGGGCCGGCTAGGAGTTCTCTCTAGGGGCGCATTGCCGGTATTGCACCCCCAGCGATAGCAGTCGCTCTATAGTATATCCTAAAGATAAATAATATTTCTCCAGGATTCCTGACGACACATACTAAACTAATAACTCCAGAAATTCGCTGAATGAACTACATGCACGCTGCTGGGACGTTGTAAGTTGCCCCAAAGCTCATCTTGAATGGCTCACCGTCGGGGAAATGACCTTAGCTGGAAGCAAGCAGCCGCGCCGCCATGCCTCTCTAACCGCCCAAACACACACTTGTCTACCCGGGAGAGGTACCTGGCGATTCAAATTCAAGCGACTGAATCTTATGGGTCGAGTACCTTGAGCTTCATCGGGATACGGCACTCAAGTCTCACAGCGATAGCTCTGTGGATCGCCTCAAAGGTTCGCGGGCCATTGGCTCATTTCAAGACCACTCATCCGGTGTCTCACGATCCCCATATCCTCAACAAAACGAGAACGTCTCTTAACCGGCAAAATTTCTCACTGAATGGTGACTAGGAGGATAATTACATGAGAGAACCCCCAAGAAGATAATTTTGAAGCTTTTTTATAGAAGCATTCTTTGGGGTTATCTCCCTACCTCATTATTCACGCCGCTTGTGGAATCAACATGGGTCGTGAGACTAGCTTACTACCGGCCACGAACTAGACCGATTTCACACCCGAATCGTGTAAAACCATTGGCTGTTCTCCGACTCCGTAGTTGTTTTGTAGTGGAGGACCACCTAAAGTTGATGATGAGACTTGACGATCTCTTAAGCAAACATACTTAATTCTGCAACATAGAAAGCGTCAAGACATTTTACAATAGAGAAGTGGCTGCTGTAATTGAATATGTAGGCTTACTTTTGGTCCATATTGGCGGCTTCATCTTCATAGTGTAACGGCAATGTTAATCTGCTACTCTGCAGAATCCATTGATGGTCCGAGAGCATGCTCTATACCTACCACCACTCTGCTCCAAAGTAGGTCACACATCGAGATTGGCAGAGCTCCTCAAGGCTCGCGGGCAACTCAGAATTTTGCTCACCTGAAAAAGTCTGCCTGTCACTTGCAGAAGAGAGAAAAGACAAAAGTGAGTGCAGCTACTGAAACATGGTCCGGGGTTTCCTTGTCCACAAGCCACAAGAGATTGCAACCGTGCAGAGCAAAGAACGTGTATTCCGTTTGAACAGCCTTTAGCTTCCAATTTTAATGAAACAGCCCTTGTGTTGTTACCCGCATCAGCACAGCATGTTTGGCTATTCAGTCATAGCGCCATCGTCCATACAGGCTGCAAATGGTCTTTGCAATTGTCATGAGAGGCAGCTATCCGAGACTCAATTTTGTGGACCTGCATTCTCAGCATGTGTTAACCATGGCAGCAATATCATCCTCCAAAAAGCCATAACCTTAGTCCTTTTGACTGTTGGCATTCTCATCATCACACATCACATACCCCAGAGACTCGCCTCAGGAACTCCATCAATCACAACACAACAATCAGCCATCATGACCAACCTGTCCGATCAGGAGTATCAGCTCGAGGCCCTAAACGCTGAGATGCAGAACGCTCTCAACTATCTGGATCCTTCATGCCAGCTTGCAGCCCAGATTCGAGAAGCGATGGTTCTGATACGGTGCTATGAGCTTCTCCAACAGTCACGGGCCTACCAAGGCTCCGAAGAAACAATCCGCGAGGATGTTTCGGACGTCGCCTTGGACCGTGGTAGCGACATCGACTCTAACCAAGTCTCTCGTCCACTTTCGCCCACTGCTCCCAGCGAAGTCAAGGAAGACAAGGAGACCACAGTCACTGCAGGCGAGAGAAACGCAACGCTTGGTTCAAGCTCGGAATCGACCTCGACCCTTGAGCAGCCCACTATTCTTAACTAACGCCCCATTCTTGCTCTGATGAGCGACACGTCTTGCCCAAATTAGATGTCCTCTACCTCTTCTGCTACACTGAACAACAAGATCGACAGCAAGAAGCGCAAGTTTGATGACGACGACGACAACTCGGCACGACTGGGAAAAAGAGTCAAGGCTTTACTACATGGCTCATCTTCTACTAATTTGTCTTAACGGGAGAGAAATTTGGATTTGAGTGTTGGGATTGCACGGTGGAGAGTTCAGTGGGAGTAGGAAACCTGGCAATGTATCATCTGGTGCCTCGGGCTGATGCGGAATGGAGTATCCTCACGACTGGGTAGATATGTATTGGAGGATTAGGGTGTTGGTACCAGATTGCCTAGTGCAATCGAACAAGGGCACTGTATGTAGAGCACGAATTGATCAAGTTGTATCAATAAGCATGCTGAAATCAAATTGAGTCTGTAAATATCTTGGTGCTCTGTACTCCGCTGAAATATCCACAGGGAGTGATGTTTGGGTAAGGTTAGAGGAGTTCACAGCCACCGCTGAGAGCAGTTCGACCGGTTTGGACTAGCTCATGCTTCAAAGAGTGCCTTTGGCTGACCTTGAGCCTTTTTTCTGAGTGAAACGAGATCGAGAAGGAAGGACGGCGTAGGTTTAACGTAGCATTTACCTTGTGAGATCGTGATATCTTGCAATATGCAGTTGCCATGGTCCATTCAGACCCAAAGCTTGCCCCCTTGATCTTCTAGTGAGTAGACGTCAGTAGGTGGGTGCAATGCCCTGCTGGTGATTGTACATGGTAAGTTGTGCAGTCGGGGTACGTGGGCCCCGTGTTTGCAATGACCGCGGCGGGCTAACTCCCGCGCCCCCAAGCGGTGCTGAAGTGAAGTTAGATGAGTTGAACATTGATGGTTTGAAGGATCTCATCGAAGAAGAGCCAGTTGCAGAGTTTTAGGAACGCCAATCCAGTAGCCATAGCGAACTGCATGCTATCTCTTGTACCCGAGAGACAGGCTGAAAATTTGACTATGCTGCTGCCACAAAGGAAACCTTGCGAGTTTGGCATCGGTATTCCTACATCACCAGCACCCTCGTCAACCCCAAGTCCCTGCTCATCAGCAGCTGAAGCGAAGCTACTGAGTTCCCTTCATAGGCGCCCATTACACTTGATCTCGATGCGTTAGCATGGTAATCTTCACGATCGCATAACACACTCGGCTTCAACGTTGTCAAGTACTTTTGCAGACGAAACGCGACATTCAGCATTCGGCCTCCTCCTCTTCTTCTTTATCCCCCGATAGTCATATATCGCATTTCAACCCCAACAAGCTGATCGGTGAAATCAGCACTGCGCTTTACTGTGCACCTTCCACCATGCCTCTTGTTATTTCGTGGCTCAAACCTAGCACGATTAAAGCCCCAGACGCAGCGTACAAGACAATAACAAGCAAGACGACCGAGCCTCGACAGATTATGCGTCATATAACTGTTGTTAATGAGCGAACCGACAAGAAACGGCCAGCGAATGAGAGATACGCCAGTAGAATGCCCAATCTCGCCATCATTTCTCTTGCGCATGGTATCGTGGACGAAGGAACATATTGTGTGCAAAGGCTCCACGAGAGCGCTTTGTCGAGCGCCTTATCGACGCCCGCTTATTGATGCAAAACGTTTACGACAGGCCTCGGTCGTTGAGCATGAGAGAGAATGCCAAGGTCCTTCGATGTGAGCATCGCCTCCTTTCTTTGAAGTCTTGCCAGAGATGGCTCTCTTTCATGTCCCACCAGAACCCCTCCTGAGTTCTCACGAGTCACGACGCATCTCCCACGACCGATAAGAAGCTTAAGACATGGAGGCCAACATGGAGGGACAGGCGTCTCTTCTAGTGTCGCCGATCAGCTGTCGTACGGTGGAAGTCATCTTGAGAGTGTTATCTTAAGTTGACAGACTTGCTTGTATCGGGCAGCTTACCTCTAGGTGTTTTATATGCTTTAAGCCTGATTATCCTTATGGACAAGCAGCAGCCACTTATTTATATGCCTCTAGAGTCAGTTATTAGGATATCTAGCTTTTCAGCTAGAAGTAAGATCTTAGGTAATAGTAAGGGCGATAAGTATTTTGCCTGTATGTATTTTTTTGGTGTTCTTTACCTTTGTGGCCTTGAGGCTGAAGCCTCTTTTTGACCCCTCAACCCTATCACAGTCTCTTCTAGTATACACCGAACAATGAATATACACCTTGGTGACCAGGTCAGACGGTTTGTTGCCGTTGTTCCTCAACCATGCTCGGTATACCGTTGATACTGCGGTCAACGCTCGCGAATCCCTCATCGGGCACTGACTTCATACTGGCCAAGAGAAGATCGAAGTCTATTGGCGAGGACGGCAAAGACGGCGATCTAATTCTACGATACAAGTGGCCGCGATACAGCATCTTCGACGGAGAAAGCGAATCTAGAGGCCTACCTTGAGAGGGCTACGTCATGGTTTCTACACCGCGTTACGGGACCCCCCCCCCCCCCCCCATATCTTTTCTTTTATGAACAGGGGAATAGGGTGAGCCTTGAAATCCTCCACCGCCACCATCTGTCTTGAGAGTGCTACTTTTTATCTCAACAGAGCTTACAACCGTGAATCATAAACGGCAAGATCCAATCGAAGATCATATGAATACAAGAGCTCAACTTACATAACACATGGCAGCGCAGTTATGTTCTTTCCACAAGCTCAAGTCGTAGCAACTGCTCAAGCGCAAAAGATCCTTAGGCCTGAGCTTGAGATGAGTAGCAGGCGTTCAAGGGCAGCACCAGAAGTACCAGGACGGTCCGGAGAAGGTATCGTGATGCGCACAGCGCCGCGGGTGCTTCGGTTGTTGCCGAACAATCCATCGATAAAGCAGCATCACCGTTAAGGATATCATCTTGTAGAAAGCCATAACCATAAAGCGTGTCTGTCATTCATTAATGCTCATACAATAAAAAGAATTACGGACCAGCAAAAAGAAAGATGGGTTGGACACAAACCGAGCTCGTGGGTCGAGACAGAAAGTCCTTCGCCTGTGCCTCGTCTGATCTCGAAGGGTCATACCCACCAGGCCAGCTTCTGCTCGTCTACTATTTCGCTCTGCACTGTTGTCATTGTTTGCTTCGCCCATGTGTATCGACGCCACCTCATCTCTCTAATATTGAAGCTTCTAATCAAGCCATAGCTCTCGCGCCTTTGGTGAGCAACCCAATACTCGCGTCGTTTTGATGACTAGGGATATCCCCAATTCTCGGTGAAGGGAGACTCGTTTGAGAATTCATCTAGTGGCATTCGAACTTATTATATTACTTGAACTGTAAAACGTCCCGGCGAGATCGATCCTCGTCGCAGCTGCCTGCATCCCTATGACCGCTTAGCTGTATTCCAAGAGTTCTCAGAGCTTTTCATGAGGATGCGTGACCTCTTCAATGACTTGCAGAGTCATCCTTCGGCGAAATCTTTCAGTTTGAGCATCGAGCCATTGCCTCAATGCGTCAGCTCCTCATTCGCTCTATGGAAAGGGCGGAAGCGTCGGTCAACGTCCTTAGCAGATCAAAGGTCTTTCCCTATCAAGCCACCATCAGATCTGGGGCTTCCAATCCAAGACGGCAACCTCGTTTTAGAGCAGAGTTTAAAGAAGGAAAATACTTCGATCCCACCCCGTGGGTCAAGTATTTGGCTTTCAGCCAGTCTTCTGAGGTCCTTTGCTTCATTATGGGAAGGCTCCATGAGTATCCGTCGCCAATATTCCATATGTGAGAGCCAGATATTTGTCTGGTGCCTCATGGGTGATTATGGAGTTACTATATATCTACGCCTCTACTATACCTCTTCTCATCTTCCCTGCCTTGTTTCCTTTTTGCAACCTCGGATGAATGTTGTTCATCGTCGAGAAAACCACAGACAGACTTAGTGTTCTTGGTTTTCTTGCTTGAGTTACCATATTCCGTGTCTTCTGCAAAGTTAACTTCAAGGGCAAAAGCTGGCGGAATCTGAGGCTCAATGACTAGAAGTCGTACTCCTGAATCAGGTCTTAGTTCGCCATTCTAGGCGTCACTGTCGTAATGCCTCTGGACTGTCTTACGGGCGCTGATTCAATTGTGTATTCCAAGAAAATCGCCGTAAATCGACATCATCTCCATGGTGCTCACGATCGGCATCAGAGAGCATTCCCGGAAGCCAAAAACCAGATGTAGATCTCCCTTCGCTTCTGAGCATAGCTTGTCAGTCAAAGAAGACACCTGACAGTAGAAAGGAAGCAGATAAGTCATCGTGTTTGTGCATGGCAGCGACAGTCGGCTTGATTGGTAGCTCATTCTGAAGCCGTTGGCTGGTTGGTTGATCACTTTGTCATTTTCTACAAACCGCGCGAATGTTCTTCTGTCGAGAAAATACAAAAGAGTAGTTTCCGAGCTCAAAACAAAGCTTTGCTTCGAACTTACACAGGAGCTCTGGCATTCTGCCGATCTAAAGTGTTACTTTCACAGTAGATGGCTTTGGAATCGAGAATGTAATGCAATGAGATGTCTCAGAGGCTTGAACAATGTTATTAGATGGCTTGAGGTACCGAAGTCTTATTTGGTCGTGGTTTTCTGATCTTTTGAACTGGGGGGTCGCTCGAACGGATGACAAGACAGCTATCAAGATAATGGATACCCGTGCTCATCGACACATCAACAATTCGACCTTGCTGGCTGGATTCCTTAAATCGTCGTCTGTTGGCTCTATTATATTGTTGATGGGACTCAAGAGTGCCCATTCACATAACCCAACTTTGCAAGATAGGTCTCATTGTGTCGAAACTTTAGCCGACAGCGATGAAGATCCTGTCCAGTTGTTCAGGAGACTGCACACTCGAGCTGTCCGGTCCCCCAGTTGAACAATGGCGCTGCAAGGCCATCTGCCTATCTATTCTTTTCATTTCTCCTTCTGTTCTCATAGTAGCAGGTCCTCTGTAGCATCAGATATCAGGTTGGATGATTTTTTGACCATAATCACCGGAGCTGGGGTGACCATAACAGCGGGATGCCGGCGAGTCGGAACATTCGCATCCTGAACGTCCCACTAATTGTCGATCGGTGGAGAGTCCTCTTCAGTTTTATGTAAGCAATTATTTTCTCAGATAGACTCAAGTCTGAGGACTGAACTTACCTTCTGCTTGACGATATGGTAAGACATAGATCCCCCCCAAGAACGTCCCATGAGATCCTATCGGGAACGTTATTTACCTTCCACTCGGCACTGACAGAAGACTTCGGCCATAAAGTCCACCAAAGCGCTGGAAAAGCCCCCGTCACTCTTAGACCGACAATAGTGCCGGCCATTGATATTGGTGTCCAGCACGAGGCGAGCAGAGGAGACACACCCTCTTGGCGGTTGCGTAAGAACCCAGTAGTTTCTCCCAATTCTTTTCCAAGACTCTGAGGTCTTACTCAGTGCCTTTCTCATCGAGCTGCACATATGTATGCACGCCTCATTGGCTCTCATCATCACGCTGCCTTTGGAACCTGCGATATTGTCGGTACCATTTCTTAAAGAGTCATACGCCACGTGCGGCGACACGCAGAGAGAGGCTTGTGAGGGGTACGTCAGTTTTTCCCGCGAGCATAGACTTGATTCGCACTGACAGTAATAGTGACGCGATTGTGTTACAGAGCCGAACCCACTTTGAACCTCCCCTTCGACAACCACATCTTGCCAAAACCCAGGGAGGGGCTAACCTCTGACAAAGACCAACACATTGAGCGGTGTATTTTCCAGTTGTGATCAGGACCTTGGAACTTTGAGACCCGATGCCACGGAATCCTTGGGAACAGAATGCGATAAATCGTAAGCCGGGGACATCCATCAAAGGCACATCATCAAGCATTGAGTATATAATCTGACAGCTGCCTACAGAGAAACATCTTTCAACTTGACTGGCCGCTTATATCCGAGTTCAGTGCTCACGATAGAGCCATTTATCAAGCGAAACACAGACACTTGAACTGAATACGACGCGCAGCTTGTCCACAGCAGGACCATCCATGTAGTCGAGTGCGATACGAAAGATAGGGAGAGTATCGAGTTCTTGAAGAGGCTGAGTGTCAATCTATGCTCATTGACGTTCACAAGGCCGGATGTGGGCTCCAAGGATACATAACGGTTCTTGTTGGGGGTCTTGAGGTACACGATGAACTTTGCGACAAGCTCATCTCGGCTCCCTCAATATGCCAACAAACGAAGAGTTTACTAGAGTCTCAAAGCCCTGGATGGGTATCTATCTGATCAACACGATCCTGCGGGTAGAACATACTCTTGAGCGAACAGTCGACCGTATCAGGGGAGGATCGCCGTCATGAGGAAGAGATCTGGCCGGCTGGGTGAATCGCGAATTGGCCGACTTCCTTATCGACATTCTCTGGGTCTCAATTCTTCCAGAAGGGATGATCTGCCAATTGTCTTCCTTCTCTACATCACTGGGCTCGCCATTGGAGACAAACGAAGACGATACCATTGGCATCTCGGATATCACCCGTTTCCCTCCCAACAGCAACTGGACTAAGTTCTGGTATCTCAACTCATAGCCGTGACGAATGTCTCTGTCAAGATCGCAGATGAGATCTGAGGGTCCCATGAGAAACCTGTTCACATGTCAACCTTGAGCTATCGACTCAATAGCACACCAACTCATATCCTATCCCTACGTTGATGCGTGCAACCTTTCATATACCTACCTACCTCGAGATTTGACTCTGCGCCAGAATAAAGGCAGAGAGCATTGTATCACCTCTTCCTTTCTTCTCAGCCTTGGACTGTCCGCTTGCCGGTAGTCCTCATACTCAAACACAGTACAAGACGACTCCTTGCCTCACATCTATCCCAGCCGCATCCATGAAGGACGTCTTCTTCTCCGCCTTGCCTCTACCGTCCTTGGGGTTATCACCAAGGACCTCATGACGGTACTCTTCCCGTCGTCTGTGACTTCAATGCATGTCAGGGATTCAAGGATTCAGGGATTCAGGGATTAGATCTACTACCCTGTTGCCCTTATGGCCTCAGGCAAGCAATTTGATGAATCAGACTAATAGTTTGCCAATGTGCGGTAGTTTCCTTAGTGCAAAAGACTGGGCTACCTTCATCTGATGGTATAGGATGAAGTATTTGAGACCGCCTCTCAAGCCACGCGAGTCGGAGATGGCATTTCTTAGTGGACCAGGTTTGTCAGGGACCAGTATTGACGTCCTTAAAGGGTCTGAAGCATTTATGTCAGGATCACAAGAAGGTGGCCGCGGATGAGTTGTTCTCATCTCGTACCTTTATGAACGATGTGCAGAGACCTCACTACACGTGGTCTTACCGACAACTTGGCCACCAACCTTGGTCTCCGGACTCTTGGAGCAGACATGCTCCAATTTGTGCACACAAGATCTTCACTATCTACATCACAAGAGTTCTCCATTCTACATACAACTACCACAGGCAGATATAGAGCTTATTGCATTGATGACAAAGAGGGATACTTGTCTCACTTCATAGCCCTGCTGTCGTCGCCAACCTTCACTTCTTCGATTCAAACAATGGCATCACTTCTTAGGTTCGGCACAAGGCGCTCTTCCTTCAACTCCCCTTTCCTGAGGTTGAAGATAAAGATGGCCTATTTTCAAGTTAGAGTTACTGTGCTCTGGTCCTTAGACAACCGTGCAAGCTGATGGTTACGGGTTCGAAGAGGGGCTGGTGTCCGAAGCCCGCCCATAGAACACGGCCCAAACCCGAAGCAAACATGACACCCCAGAACGACTTCCACGATCTCGGTCAGGTATAAGAGCCCTCAAGACTTCTTAAAAGCAGGGGAGACGTGAGGAGGGCCTGACAGAGTACAATTGTCCTTGGTACTGGAGATGATCACCTTGTCGAAAACGTCGGTGCTGATTTGGCATTCGCGATTGCTTCGGGTGCTGGCGCAAGAATCTTGAGGTCTTACGCGACGGAGGAAAATACCGTCAGTTCTGTGGTCAATTAATGAGCCACTCTATATTCTACTCCTGCGACATGCTGCGCCGCTTACACTCGGCAGCGATCAGCAACCAGGCGCACACGTCAAGACACCACCCAACTCGGACCATTGATAGCATCAGGGGCAGCAACTTCAAAAATAGCCATGGGGAAACAGCCCAAGCAACACAGACTCCGTAAGACCCCATCAGTCGGGTTTATTCCAAGCTGGTCATTCAAAATAGGTCAAGTGTAATGACGGCCTCACGTGTCAATCCACTCGATTGGAGCTCACGGCCTCTGTCAAAACGAGATCATGCTGCAAGAATTCAGGATGAGGTGATGATAAAAGCTTGTGCTATTAGTAAGTTCGACGTTCGCGACATCGGAGAAATAGACAAGATTTCTGATGCCGTAACGGCCAGCCCATGATTCGGCTTACGCACGCCGTACGAGACGTTTCCACAGCATACAGGGCGTCAGGCATAGTGCCCCCACCAAGCGTAAACTCTGTAACGTTAGTGATGTTGAGAATTACCAATTTGGGGAATCGAAAAGACAATCTAAGCATGGTGAATGGTCCGATCTGAGATGGAGTCTGCTCGCCAATCTGTCTTTTGGTGGGGGTCACTGTTTTCTCAGATGCATGTCTTACGATCATGGCAATTACTATGCCATCAGCTCAAAACAGTATTTCTTCAGTTTCAGTTCAAGCTCCAAATTCACTGCAGTGCTGTAACCTCGCGGGCACAAGTCTCAAGTATAAATAACGCATCTCGTCACAATTCCTTCACCGTATCGCGAGTACCACTAGCGCCATTGCTTCGATTGATACCAAACTGAAAGACATCGGGATAAGAAGTCATATCGTTATTGCCTACATCGGTATTGATTGCTATAGAGGCCAACTCGACGCGAGCCCGAACTTACTCCTGTCGATATTCTAATTCTTGTAGAGCGCATATGAAAGGATGTACAGGGCCATGGTAGTGCCGATGCGCCAAATCCTACAAGGTCTAACCGAGAATCACTCCGAACACGTTTAAAAAGAGTAGATACAACTAAGAATAATATCTCTGGAGAGGTAGACTCCTGAACAGGTCAAGACGTCAGTAACTCCACAAGAGAGGCTCAGAAGACGAGGCTCGGGACGAGCTGTCTCTGCATCGGACTGCGGGAGCAAGATCGCTCCAAGTGGCGGATGACCATCCTTAGTCTCCACCTTGAACATCGCTGGCTCCCCTCCTGGCGGTCTTTCTGGAAGTGTAACGGTATTTGAACGATGTGATTCCAAGCATGCACCGGGTCGGCAAGTCCTGCAAGATAGCGCCAAGACTTACCTGCTTCTTCCTTCAACTCGAGGGTCGATGGAACGATCCGTGCTAGATAGATCTGCTACCAAGGGCAACGGTCGACCTGAGGAGCCATTTACGGCAGCGCGAAATGCCTCTCCTTTCCATCCATGCATTACCTCTCGATACTCTTCAACAAGTATAAAGACATGGCCCGAGGTTACAGTCAACGCATCGCAAGTCCGGAGCTGCAATGCGTGCCTCTGAAGCATTTCCCTTCCCCAACCCTGAGCCGAGTGCGACTGATTGGGTTACCATCCGATGAACAAGACCGGCGGCAGTGTGGCCGGGAAGCTGTCAGATCCAGTTCCCAGATTCACTCCTCATCATACTTGAAGAGGGTTCAAAAAGGAGACATATAACGAAGACCACGCTTCTATTTATTATGTATTGCGGCGGGCGCACTCGATCGGGTCGTTCGCGGGGTCATTGGGAGTTCCATGGTGCAGCTGAGATCACGGCACGCACATCTTTTGCGCTCTTTTTGTTCGCGCTGACGGCGAGGTTCTTGGCCTGCTACTCGCTCAACTTGCTCATAGTGCAGGCTCTCCTCCCCCTGCTCCTCTTCTGTCTTCTTTCGCTGGTGGGAAATCGACTGGTGGATGCTGTTGGAGCTGTGCATGGTGGCGGCTATCGCGTCGCTAATGATCGAGGGCGGGCGAAGCGAGAGAGGTCGCAACAAGCGCTGCTGAAGGCGCCGTTGATCGCCTCCGTCTCGTTCAATCGGATTTTCTGAGGCTTATGTCGTGTTCCATGATGGTCGGGGCTCTCTATGCGGAAAATCTGTAATAGTTAGATCATGTCTCGTGGAAGGGTAAGAGGACTTACGCTTTTATGCACCACTGTTTCAACTCCTAACTTGATTCGACCATTATCGCTTGGAGTCTTTCGAACCTTGTAGACCGAAACGTTCGATGTCTTGTTTTCCCGGTTCATATGAAAGCCAATGACAGCTTTGATCTTTCCATATGAGTGAAGAAGGTAATCCCTGGCCAGCCCGGGCAGCTCCTTGCCATCCTGAGAGTATGATACCTCGACGACGACACCAGATAGACCCGCATCTTTGTGCACAAATGAAGCATCTGGGGAACGCGTAAGGCGTTTCGCATGTGGCATGTTTGATGAATGTTTTGTGATCAACCCTATGTCAGCAGAACCGTTGCTACGGATCTTAGTTATGAAATCCCCAGTAATGGTGTTATGATGTTTAAGTCCCAGGCTCCTCAATTGAAGTCGCAGGTGGAATCCGAACTCCTGAATAAAGGATTCGTGTACTAGTCCAGGCTTTCGGATAGCTATGAGGCCATTTTGAGGATCGTAGTCGAATCGTCGAAACGCGGCTTCGATTTGCTTGAGGTAGTTGGTGTGGTTTTCCTTGCTGAGTGGGAGGACAGTCCAGGCACCAGCTTTACCAGCATCAACTGTACGCTTGAAGTCGGCGAGAGGTTTTGGGAGACAACTGCGTCTAGGACGGGTGCGCGGAAGGGACTCGGTCGCAGGTTTCTCGGGCGCTGGGGATTGTTTGGTCTCGCACTGCTTGAGCTCGGGGGGCGGCGAGACCTTGCGGCTCGATGTACCCGTGGACTTGAGGGAGGAGGGCGAGAGGAGGCAGGATACGTCGGAAGAGGAGGATGGTTCGTGGTCGGCAGACTCCGTGGTAGAGGCCGACGATGGCCAAAGGGAAAAGAGGGAAGAGAGAGAGAATTGAATGTTTGTAGCTTTGGTGGGGTGCCGATGATGCAATTCACAGCAATTCAGCTAGTGATTCACCGCGTCGTGCGTTTGGTGGGGTTACGGATTCCCTTATCTTATCGCAAGCCGCTAACCCAGCAGCCGCTCACGCCACTTTTTGTGGCTGCGCTTTTCCATTGTGGCTGGCTCATGACACAGTTGGAAGAGCCTAAAGATAGAGCAGGAAACAAAAGACTTAGGCAACTTAGCATAAGTTTAGTACATCTTTTGCTAATTTAGCACAGGTTTAGCATATCTTTACTGAGTCTAAGGTAGGTGTTTGCTGGTTTGAGTTATTGCAGACTCAAAAGACCTGCCCAAAATTACAGATACATGGGGAGTTATGATAATGCTCTAGAATTTGGGCGCCCAAAATCCACCTAGAGCACAAGCAAGATCAGTCGAGTCAATTGCGAAGCATAGGCCAGTTATGAGTTAGCTAAGAAAAAAAGTCATAGAGCAACAATAGACATTTATGCAAAGGCCGTTAGGTGCCGTGCTCAAACCGAAGCGCAATCAAGGCACCTTATCTGGGATGTACGGCTACCCTAGACTTGAAGGATCGCCGATGACCAAACGCTGTGTTTGGTCCTTCAAGGTTGCAGCGGGCCAAGCACCCCACCCACCCTGAACTGCCCGAGCTTATGCGGCTCTGCTGATAAGTTATCGGCAAGCACTGGGCTTTCACGTCACAAGGCCTTGCCATTGATCGTTTCGCACCGCAAGCTGGCGCTGCCAGCACTACCGTGTAGCGGCGTTGACATTCTATCGGCATCAATATTCTCGTCTACGTGCTAAGTGCATTTCTGTTCGCTGCGCTTTACCACGAAACTCATTGCGTTGCCTCCATTGTAAGTTGCGACTTAGCGCTCTCGCAGAAAACACCAGAAATCCCAAGACAATGAGTTCTCGACGTGAAGCAGTTTACCAATAGAGCACACTCAAGTCAGAAAATAACACACCTTGGCTCCTTCGCTCGAGATTATATCGCTCGTCATTTCACCGCATACAAATAGCTATCAACAGTCGAGGTGGCGTGCTAGGGTGCGAAACAAGCTTCAGCGCATAATGCGTACGAAAGATAGGGCGCTGAAATGGTATCGTCGCGAGGTCAAGAGAAGGGGTATAAATCTCGATGTACTATATCAGCCTTATGCTAGTTCCTGTAGAGAACCGCTCGGGTTAGATGATGATAGGAGGCCGTGGTGGGCGTTGGAGTGGTGGTGGTGTCGCTACTGGTCGGCAAGGTGTGGTGTATTGTGGCGTGAGCCAGAGTATACTGACCTATCTGTTGAGTTAAAGCTAAAGTGTGATTTTTAACTTTATAACTAACTTATAGAGTTAATACTACTATTACCTTTTAATTACTTTAACGTTTCTTTTACCTTTTTATTTAGCCTAATAGTATTACAAGACCATAATGCTAACAGCCTGCTGTTATCCTAGGCAAGGCAAATGCCTCCGCCTAGCTTGACCCCACGGTGTTCTTGCTATGCCTCTTCTTGAAGCTATCTTGACTGCCAAAACAGGGAATTCCTTTCTAATAGAGGATATTTTCTTCGATCTTTATAGAGGGGATTTTATGACTACCCTCTGGGGGGGGGCTGCAGCCGGCTTTTGCCTTCCGCGACCGGGGATACTGCCGGGGGCTTCCTCAAGCGGAGGGCAACGTAATCCGTCTCCTGCAGCTCCAGAAGTATCTTCTTCCGGCTTATCGGCTGACCGGCTGACCGGCTGACCGACTGGCCGACTGGCCGACTGATTGAATGACTGTGAAGAGCTTCACTTTCAGAGAGGAACGACCCTATAGGTCTGCAACAAGTGGAAATTAACTAATGGCCGAAGAGTATATGCCCTCGAAGATTTAAGAAGGCAATATTAAAGATATTACCCAAACAAGCCTTATTTACCAATCTTGCTTATATGAGAAATATAGCAAGATACAGATAACCGTGCTTTTAAAGACATAGTAATGCAAAGCAACGCCAGTGTCCTTCCCTTGAGCCTCACATCAAGCTCTTCCATAGTACGCTTTGTTCAACTCGCCATCATACTTCTTCATAATCCCAGACAATTCCTCTCCGGCAACCTTCAAGTCAATCTTATCCTTATTCAATTCATCAAGGGTCCGCCGTACCTCCCATTTTGCATCGTTGTACCAAAGCTTATTCTTCTTGAAGTCATCCTCCAACTTCTGCAACTCAGAGCAGGAAATGCGGCTCCCGCTGCAACCGAATGCAAGATAAATCCGTAAATCATCCGCAGCTACTAGCTTTTCCCATTGTGTCGTGTTGTCTGATTTTAAAGCTTCGGTGTTGTTAGCATGATATGGACGGGCAACATATTGCAATAAAGCGGGAAGCTTCTCCCGGGCTGTGATGGTATCTGTCAAGTCGGATATCTTCAAGAATATGTCTTCCTTCATCTTGAACACTTTGTCGCGTGCCTCACATAGCTCATTCTTTAGTTCTCGAATAGATTTGTGACCGGCGCTGGTTTCTTTGGTCATATTTGCACGGGCTGACATGCCATGATCCAAGGTAGAGAGGAAGTTCCTCGCCTCAGTCTGTATCATCGTTTCCTTCGAATCTTGGATGTGAAGAGACTGCAGAACAGGTGCTAGCCATGATGGCTCCGAGGATATGAGTTTCTCGAGACTAGAAATATGTCGACAAACGTCGTAAGAATGGTCGGCAATACGTCTGGTGACAGTCGCAAGCCGTTCATCCGCCCGACGGACTTCCACCAACAACGTCTCGTCGAAGCTCAGTTCAACCCCTTCAACGATTTTCTTGTCTAGTTCTTTGGCAATGTCTCTGAGAACCTTGCCACTGACAGAAAAGACCGGCCCATCGCGGAGGCAAGTTTGATTTCCGACTGATGCAAGTACGCTAGGTACGGAACCAGGGTCGCGACACATTGTTTCCCATAATACCAGAATAAAACCGCCGATAGTGCCGCCAGGAAAGGGAATGGGTATGTCGAGGATAGATTTGATGAGAATTGCAATTATCAAGACACCGAATAAACGGAGAACACGGCATTTGTGTTTCCAGAGACATCGCAAGAATGCCACGATCCGGTTGAAGGCTGTGTCTAGATAGTGTAGATAAGGCCTGGGCAAGGGAGGCGAGGAAATATCCCCAGCAGTGACATTCCCTGGTGCATCAGCAGACTGCTTGTTGTTAAATTAGTGAATGTCATATAGACTGTGGTGGGAAACGTACTGCAGCCCGTTCTCCCGGTGCTCTCTCTCCTGCAGCTCTGTTCTCTACTACCCTCTCTTGCTCAGTCCTCTCTTTCTCGGCCCTCTCTTTCTCAGCCCTTTCTTTCTCAGCTCTGGCTCTTCTCTCACGACGTTCAATGTGAGCTTCATATTTACGCAAAGCTTCTCGGGTGAGCCCGCTTCCGGACATCTTGACGATTCTGGCGTGAGTGTGCTGTGTTGGGGCCTCTCAACGGGAGAGTCAGTAGTTGGAATCTCTTCGAGACCCCAAGCACCCAAAAGCAATCGCTTGGCTAATGTCGAATTATTGGTTGGTCAGCTGTCACGTTACCAGGACTCCCAATCGTGAGAATTCCGTGAGAGATATTGGCTTGGTGATCAGTTTGGTGTAATACACTAGCAAGGTCTTTTGGGCCCAGAGTGTGTGCTATTAAGAGAAGCAGTTTTGTCTTAGATGGATACGGCTTGCACTAGACAAGAACTTCTTTGAGATTCACGGTCTAGTGATGCACATGGCGCTGTCCTAATATACGCCACAAGTGACATATCCTCTCCCAACCCTGGTTTTATGAGAGACTGACAGGATTATGAGCCATTACGACAAGAAAAGACATTCACCTGAACCATTTTGAATGCCAGGGCATACATAGTACTTGCTCTAATTCACCTGGAGACCCTGGTTGAGAGCAATGAGTCACTCGCCTGCCCAGGTGAGTAATGATGGAGTGAAGTAGGTACAAATATCCAGGTGATAACCAAGCAAATATCATTCTTCATCCTTTTCAAACACAATCTTCTAAACTACCGAGAATGGTCCAACTTCGCATCACGATGTTCCTCTCTGGAATAGGCCTCCTCTCTGGAATGGGGCTAGGTTCTTGGTGGTACTCAGACCATGGAGATGGGACTCCGATCGGAAAAACCGATACCGCAATCGGTATTTGACCCTTCATCTACACGCTCTATCCCAACACTAACAAATGCCAGATGATATCTGCGCTGTTTACAGCCTGATTCGGCAAGAATCACCAGGCTGCACCAGCCCGCCTTCCCTGTATAGTATCCTCAACATGGATGTGCAGGAGCCTAAAGACAAGAAGGTCGACGTCAAGGCGTGGAAGGCCTCGATAGCCGCGATCGGAGATTATCTTGGGACGGAAACCCGCCAGGAAAAGATCTTCATTCGCGCTGCTGGTATTCTGATGGACGGTCCCACTCGAAGTGTGTACGATAACCAGGTTTGGAACAAGATTCGTGGGCGGTCGGAGGCACTCAAGGAGATCTGTGGATGGAAAAGTTAGGTGGAGACTGGGCTATCGTGGAGTTTTCAGGAGGGTGTTCAAATTGGCGATGTTGCAAGAATGGTTAGCTAAGGAGTCGGCCTGTGTGGATTAGATACGGTCACCATCAAGACGACATCTAAACCCTCCATCGATATTGCAATACCCCTTGGTCAAAGATCGTGTGACTGCACTCTACTCCACCATGTTACATGTAAGCATATCTTAGACGCAGGAGCAATCATATCACAGCAAAAAATACGTAACGGAAAGCTCCGGGATCACCACCGAATTGTGTAACCTACCCCCCTGTCATTCAGTCGAACTGCAGAAGCGGACGGGCAGGCAGACCGCACCGCTAATGGCATGCCTTCACGTTTTGTAGTACGCAAAAGATGTACGGTGAGAAGAAAAATGCCACACATACGACGAGAAACCTGCTACAAAATAGCCTTCGTCCCCGCTCACTCAGACCGCTCACTCAGCCCACCTGCAAATTTGACAATAGCATGGTGGCTGGAGATATGCGGCTATGCGCCCGACAAATCCAGTGGTACTACCAGTCACAATGCGAAACTCCACTCAAGGACGTATCAAACCGGAAGACTTGGCTCGTGCTGAGTTCTAACCGACCTTTCTCTTGAATCGTGCGAGGAGGGTGAGATCCGGTGGGTAGAGGATTGGAGTAGAGAGGATGGACTTGATAGCTTCTGTAACTTCTTTCCAGCTCCATCTTCGACGTCTCTTAGCATGACACTAGATCAGTTGACATGGCAGATAATTATGAGGTATCCACCCATGCTTCATTGTAACTTGGAAGTGGCTGACATGGCGAGCAGGGGACTCTGCAGGATCAATCCGCTGTAGAAGAGACAGCCAACTTCGTCACTCACCAATCACGCACCCCGCGACCTGTAAGTCGGTCTGCTCACGCATAGTCCCATTCTAACATCTGACTTAGACTTCGCCGTCCAAATCTGCACCAGCGGTGATGATACCGCCAGAAACCAACCCATGGCAGTCTACAGGACCTCATGTGGCACCATCAAGCGAATCATTACCTCATGAGCCCCCGGAAGCCCAATCACATCACGAATATGCGAGTAGTTGGCCCCCAGCGTTGGGGGATCAAGCTAATACAATCGATCAAACACCTACGACGTCCGACTTCTACGACGACTCGCAGCAACCACCTTGGCGTGCATTCGCCGCTCGGCCCTGGGACCTTCATGGCAACCAGCATAAGGGAGCGGCGCGTGAATCCCCAGTTGAATCCACCTCACAAGAGGATGAGAACGAGAGTTGGCTATATGGTGCTCCTGCGACTGAGCCCGTCACAGATTCGCGAAATGACAGCCAAGATCCGCAGACATATCATGATGTGGAGGAACTCCTGACCCCTGAGAACTTCGCCAAGTACAAACGCTACAGGAGGAGAGAGAAAAGGGCGGGGAGAGGGTGATAATAGATGTCTATGGGAAGAGGTAGATGTAGAAAGGTATGCTGCGGAGTCGGGGGTTGGACGGTTTTGAACGTCACTGGGTCACGAGTGCAAAGGTTTATTCTTTCTTGAGAGAATGGAATGTATGTTGGTTATTTATCTTGATCCTTCAGTACCTCATACGGCACGTAAGCTCTACCATGCGCAAACAAATACCTCAAGCCTCAGGTTGGGTCCTCACGACTTCACTGATGTCTCGCAAGGTATTGAGGGGATATCAGGCAAGCAGTTCCATTGTAGAGGCGGTGTGTGTACATGTATCACGTCGTTCATACATCTGCTCGCGAAAACAGCATCTCCCTGGCCCACTACAAGCTCACCATAACCCTACCCCCTTCTAGTTATTATCCTCCTCTTTCCCCTTCCGCTGCTTCTGGATGTTAAAGAACATCCACCTCTGCTTCTGCTCGTTAAGAGACATGCCCTGCTGGAGAGCCACCATCTCGTCAATGAGCTCCTTAAACTCCTCCTCCGTCTGCTCAGAGGAGCCAGTTCCAAGCCGCGACGCATCCTTGGCGATCTTCGGGGAGAGGGCAGTCGTGGTTCGTCCTGGGTTGACGGTCGGGTCGCGAACAACTGTCGTCGTGGCGCTGATGGCAGTAGGTGCCTTGCTGCCAGGTATAGAACCGCCGGTCATAGTAGGTGCTTTGGGGGCAGACACGAAAGCACCGCCGGTAGCAGTGGTTGCCTTGAAGCTAGGTACAAAACCGCCAATGCCAGTAGCAGTAGCAGGTAAAAAAGCACTGGTCGCAGCGGGTGGCTTGGGGACAGGCGCAGAGGCACCAGTCGCAGTGGGTGCCTTCGGGGCAGGTACAAAGCCGTCGGCGAGGGGACCTAGAGTGCTCATGTCAGTGTCTTGTCTCCTTGCTCATGTGCCTGCTGAAGACCTACTGCTGCCCAGGTTTCTCGGGGCCCTCTGACCTCGAATAGTCATGGCTGGAGCCGCTGGAGCGCGCCGGGTCTGGGGAGCGCTTCTTAGGTCGCCGAAGCCTACCTGGCTTGCCTTGTGGCTGCGCGCAACGGAGCCTCCGTCGACGGTGCCTATATTGTCCATGTCAGCATTCTCTATGTACTCCTATACAGCTGAAGAAGACTTACTCGCAGAGAACTCACTCCGGTCCCACTCATCGCGAGTCTGGTACATTCGTTCGGCCAGCTTCTGCCTTCTGCTTTCGCTGAGGTGGCTCAGGTCTACCTCAGTGGTTCTCAATGTACTGCTAGTTCTTGAGGTCCCGGCTTCGCTAGGCGTGATTTTGCCGTCGGCTATGTACTGCTGTATCTCCTGTTTATGCTCTTCGGGGACTTGTGTAAAGGGTATACCTCTGGTATCTATGTAACGTCCTCCGTTGTCCATTTTGATGGTTCACAGGCGAATTGGTGAGTTTACTCGATTTTGATGTGAGGAAGTTGGAAATCGCATGAAGAGTGGTGATTTTTGTTGTCTAAGATATGTGTCTGATGTGGATGGCTGAAATTCGTGTCACACATATCCACGGTTACACAACTAGGGCATTGTCACATTAGGGGCTAGATGTTGCCCGAAAGGCGACCGTGATACTGACTACTCGTGTGAAATAGGTTTCTTGTTCATACAGGACTCGAACGCAACGATGGGGATAACCAACGACGCAGAGGTAGGAATCCCCATTATGTAAACAACTTGACGCTGAAGCCTACGAACAGACGGCTTGCAATCAGCCCCTAGAGAAGTTCAGACGCCCCGGTGTCAACTTCACGCTCTGCCCAGGATGCAAAAAGGCAGCAACCCAACACCTTATTCGAGAACATGCCCAGCCATGTTGGTTCAGCACTACAGGCTGGCCTAAAATCGAGCGGTCTCTGTATTTGAAGCAGGAAGACGGTTCTTCCCACTCGGCTGAGTTTGAGAACATCGTCCCCCACAAGGCAAGTAATTGACCACATAGTTCTGCTCTAGAGTCGGTGAAACTAACAGTTCACAGGTCAAATCCTGGGTGCAGCGGCGCCACAAGGAACTCCAAGACGCTGGCATCTGCTTCGACTCCTACGACAAGCACAACACAGGCTACCGCCTCATGTACGCGCCGTGGTCCCGCGCCTTTCTCCTCGACGAGTGGGACGGACATGACCTCTCTCAGAAAGGCGCAGAGTTGCTCTTGGCCAGGTATGGCGAGCCCCCGATGGTTGAGGAGCACGACGATTTCGAGGTCGACATCCAAGCCTCCGAGTCCGTCTCCAACGCCGGCGACAACTTCACCGCCACGATTGAAATGCACCGCGCCAAGATTGACGAAGGAACTCACCAGCTCATCGAGTGGAACGTGATGATACTCCAGATATACCGCATACTGATAGAGGATGAGGACTGCGATGGTGATAGACGGGGGCTGATGGACATCTTGGATCAGTTGTTTGAGAAGAGGCGTGAGTTGGTGTGTGAGATGAGGGAGACTGAGGAGGAGCTCGACGATGCCTACCGAGAGCTTTTTGGTCTGGGAAACGATGTTTGTTATCCCTTTCATGGAAAGGTCTGGGAGGATTTGTTACGAAGTGTTGTTCCTTTCCCAACGATCATGGGCGGCAAGTAAGATAGTCTATTATGACAGCATGTTTCTCTACATACGTGGCCATTCGGGAACCCTACTATTCCTCTGATTATTCCTTTCCGTGTTCTTTGCTTGGTTTCTTTCTCCATCGCCGATATCTAGCAAACTGCTTGTTAGTGAACGGGAATTCTTCTTCCTCGCCCCAGCCGCCTGGCATGCCATCTGGTTCTAGTGTATCCAGGACGGAGCTGAGATGCTTCATGGTCTTTGAGGGGGGAAAGTCATTCTGCGCTGTCCATTAGCGTGTTTATACACATTCAGATAGGGTAAACATACGGCAACGGTAATGTTGCGCATCTCTGTCTCGTCAGGGGCAAACGCCGGTGCATTCTGAACCTCCAGCGTCGGGGAGGCTCTCTGCCCCCTGTGTTAGCAGTTTCAACGTAGTCGGTTAAGGTGAACCTACAGCCATGCTAGTTCCAGCTGCCTCTAGCTCACCAGGAGGAGCCGTCACGTCCTTCCAACACTTGTGTCTGACGGTACGGAATAAGCTTGTATTTTCCCCGTCCCATGTTTCTGGAAAAGCTTCTTCGCCAGGGGCACATTTAGAGAGTTCATAGACAGGCTCATGTAAGTAGGCTTTTCTCAAGTCAGCAGCTGTGATTAGTTCTCTATTGTGCAGTGGTGGTTCGTGGTAGTAAAATCTCTGAAACTGACGAGCGCGGAGTCTCCAGTGGTCATTTGGGGCTACCATCTTGTTGGAGTCGGTAGATGATGTTAGAAAGAATGAATCGAGGTTTATTCTGGAGAAGATCAGATATTTATAGTATGGAGTTGTTCTTGATGCCTTGCGACTTGATAATTCACTGCCAAATGGTGGTGGTTGGCTCAATCTAAAGCCAGTGTGATCTTACATCACCCTTTGAGGCATGATGATAATTAACTTCAGCCCAGACAATGAAAGTACGGGCATTCTTTTTCATTGCCGGATAAAACCCACATTAATTCGCACTCGCCCTTTGTCGATATGACTGGTCCCCTTGCTTTCGTACAGTCACCAGCGACCACCATATATGCACTGGCACAATTGATGGAGGAAGTCAAAGACGCCTCGATGTTCTCATGCATCTTCCTTCATATCACTTCGACTCTAGACATATGTCTGCTTGCTACGCAGTGACTTTTCATTGTCGGTGCCTTCTCTTTGTTTCCGCAACCAACCTGACTTTTGCATGCACCTCGCGAACTCCCCTGTCTTCTACCCGTAAGCGTTGAGCTATGTCAACGAGTATAAGGCTGTCTGGTACGGCATGCTACAGATAAGCCACCAAACCATTGCGAACATGTTCTTGTCACAGAGGATGCTAATGGCGAAGCTGTTGACAGTACCCTGTCTAGTCACCACTACGGGCAAGCGTGATGAAGAAACGACACCATCCAAAACAAGCTGGGTTTTTACGGTTGACCTCGTAAGATCATCTGTTTGGGACCGCAATACAAGACCCGCGTTTTCTGTCTTTCAAACAATACACAACATGCAATATCCCAATTCATTCAATTGCGCGACAGCAGTAACTTGCTCGAACTCTCAAAGTACTAGGCATCGACTTCATATCACGAACAAAGCCGCTCAGTAAACACGGACCTACCGTCCCCACAGGGCTGGGTTGGTGGGTGCATTGGCGCAGTCACCACGAGCATACACCGCCAGATAAAGAAAATCGGAATGTGACTGATATGCATCATTGTGGACATGGTTTCAAAAGTGCCCTTAGTCTCAGTTCTGATGCTTCAACGTCCGTTGCAAGCCTTGTTGTCTCAGTCACACAGTATTGAGGCGGCCACCTGTTCACATAAACTTTTACAGATCATGTCCAAGACCAAGAGCAACGCTCATGAACGATGAAATCACTATAGGTGGTGACATTTGAGGTTTAGTTGCAAGAAACATATTCCAGCTCTTATGCAAGTCAAGGATGGCGAGACTGCGTTGGCTGTTGGGATGGTATGAACGCAAAGTCCAAGGATGAGAGTTGATTGCGCTGAATTGGCTTTCACTGAAGCATCGATGGCTTTCGGTCGGGTAGTGATTTCAGATAAATTGAAGATTCTGAGCCAGAGAAATCGAGATCGGGTGCGTGTGACTTTGGATGACTCTATTGCACTTGCAGAGGTACGTAGGTTTACCATCTCCCCCTAGCTTAACTTTGCTATGATCCTTTTACCTGTTTGTATCAGCGCTTTCTTCTCATTGGGCCAGTATCTGAGATCATCCCATCGTTGACTTCGTGAAGCTACGTAGTCAATCGCACGCAACGATGCCATGGACCACGAGGTCTTCTCCAGGAGTAACTCTACTCAATTTGACATCTCTCCCACTACGGACCGCAGTACATTTCATTGCACGCTGGAGGATAAGACCGCTTGATAAATCGCATCTTCGGCCTCGTAGCTTAACTGCAAACGTGTCTCCTAGCCGGCCACGTTACCACGCCTCTTCTTGTGCATGGATTCTCGGGATGTTAGAAGCTTTGAATCCTCTATATACATGCTTCTTCATTCTATTATTGGGCCGGCCGGGCTGGTGGCTCGAGGAGAAGAGAAAACGTGATGGCCTTTGCTATGTGATTGATCGGAGAGAACAGGCACACCTGCCTCCAAAGACCAAGACAAAGAGGCAATCTCAGCTGCAGTAACCAGAAATCTAAATAATTTTACTTATTGCTGATGTTCCCCAGCTGAGACGCTCATTTCCGCTTCGAGAACATTGTAGGTGACGTTATCTCCTTTTCGCCTTGTTGCTACTCTATGCAATCTGAACAGTATGTGTTACATTCGGTGCAAATAATCTGCAATCAAAAGACACTTCTTCATCCGCTACTATCTAGCATTGTCGGCACGGGATCAAGCTTCATCGCTACTTTCCCGAGGAGCACTGTGAGATAGCTCCAGGACCAAGCTTCCAAGCGGGGACCGAGTGCCGTGACTGCATCAGATACCTCAGCATGCTTCACAGCCATGATCATGTCCCCCAAGGAGTAAGAGCCCAAACCACGACATCATCACATAATTTGCGAGGTTGACCAGTTGTTTGGCATTATTTGGTTACCAACTCCTGTATTGAGGTGGCGTCTTGAACCTGAGATCTGTCTGCCAATTCTGCCCGGAAGCAATCTAAGAACGAACAGGTCGGAAGAGAATACCAGTAGTAGGGGCCGTGAGCTATGGGACTATATAAACCATGTGTATTTCCCCAGGCCTTCATTCAGCCTTCACTACATGTAGCTCAGCATTCCCCTCAGACTTCAGATGTCTCCTCTCCGCCATCGTTGCTATCAAGTCTTGGATGTCAAGAAACTTGCTTTCTCTCACGACTGCCCACTTTAGCCAGAAAACAACATGGTCCGGCAACACAGTCGGCCTTGCGCGATCTTTCTCACTGGCCGGCACATTGTGAGGAGTGGCTGGCCTGGCTGCTTTCAGTTCTGGTGTCTGGCTCTGTTTGATCCACGCGTAACTCTGTTCAAGCTCAGATTCTGGCCATAACTCGTGTCGGACTCAAATCAAGGTTCACGACTGGAGCATCTATCTTCGGCCGCCATCGCCAGCCAGTCGCAGAGACTTCTAGCCTGCAATTTCACGAGCTTCTGGTAATTGAAGAGTTTGTTCGGTATTGGGCATCGAACCAAGTATGGCTCCAGTATTGGGAAGCAAAAGGTCAAGCGTGTTGACAGAGACGGGATCATAAATTACAGCGGTGATGGCATCTAGTATGTCTTTTGGTAGCTCGGGTGCTGCTACGCAGGAGCGGAAAGGTCGGGCGGCAGAAAATGAATGGATAGCTTCTGGTACTGTAGCTCTTGGCGTTTGGGATGGTGTAGAGGGTCTTTGGCTACTATCGTAGCCAGGATTTTGGAGGTTCCCGGCTTCAGTTGGAGGTTCGGCTGCTCCTCGTCCACGACGTTTGGGCCCGCAGATAGTTTAATAAGGCTGGGGAGAATCAGCTGGTAGTAATGTAAATGAAGGACGGACCTTTGGATCCATGGAGGTTTATATGGAACTTAACGGTGACAAGTACGGGGGGTATTTGATCAAAAAGTCTGTTTGCGGACCAGGTTGTTGCTCTCACCATCTGAGTCCCACATGAGGGCGACGGAGGTCTCCAAACCGGAGTACGGATATCTCGAAGGCGGCATACCGGTAATTTGCTTGTCTCATAACAAGAACGTAACCAGTTGACTTTCTGGGCTGAATAACCTGTTTGAATCTGCTGAAGTAGGCCATACTTGTCGACATAGAGTTTGTTGAGCAACCCAAAAACTTCAGTGGATCTGAAAGACCATCGGCCAACTGAGCGCTGAGCAAAGCACCAAGAGAACCGGGCTCGTAGACAGGCGACCGACCTAGCTCCTAAAAGAATCGGCAAGTCTTCTTGTATGATCCATGACCCTTCCAGAAAAGGAGGCAAAGTGCTCATCGATCGTTCCAGGCGTTGGCCATCAATCAGCCGTAAGCCTAGACAGCCCAACGGCGACTTCCGAGAGATCGCCTCCAAGTCTCAAGACGTATTTCCTTTTGAGCTCGCGAGAAAGGTGATTGACGGCGCTTTCCGCGATAACTGCTTTGCTTAGGCTGAGCTTGTAGAGATCGGCTATGTATTTGGCGTCACAGGCGCGTTGATTTGCAAACGATGCCTCCTGTTTGTGGCTGTGTCTGTTAGCGCATGCCGTCACGTTTCGTTTATGCCTGGAACTTACTATTCGATCGTTTTATAATATTCTCTACAGGCCTCAAGCGGCATGATAGCTTGGCTCATTTCCTCCATAAAAGCACTATAGCTGCTTGTGAAACGGTGTATTGTCTCGCGAAGTTGGTCCATACGTGTAGTTACTTCCTCCAAGATATAGAGACTATCTTTAGAAAAGTCGGCCATCCTGAACTTGCTTGGGTGCCTATCGCTGAGGGTCATAAAAGCGTCCTCGATCAACGCGATGTATGTCTTGGTAAGGCGCAGTGCCGCTTGTGGCTCTGTTTCTTCAGGGCGTCTCATCTGTTCAAGATACCTTATGTAGTACGCATCTACCCATGTTCTGGTGATATTTCTTGTTTCTTCATCCTCTGGTCTGTCATCTAGTGACGCCTTTTCTAGACAATTGGAGATAACCTCGTGAATAGGCGCGCGAGCTTCAATGATCGCAAACTGCGATGATTGCACTCCATTTAGTGGATCTAAACCGCCAGATATTTGAAGAGGAACGAATGTGTAAAGAGGCAACTGAAGCACGGAAAGGGCAAGACCAGCGTTCTCGGCAATCTCATCCATGAGGTCGACAAATGGAATGATGGCTTTGGACGCATTGTACCAATCGAGGCAAATGGTGCAAATAGTCCAAAGAAGCCATACAGGGAAGATGGAAAGAACTGGGAGGAAGATCCGTCTGTAACAGCGCAGCCCATCCGAGGTGCGATGAAGAAGTCGATCGAGCTGTTCTTCTGTTGGCGGAGGGATAGGGTTTGTTTGCCAGGCAGGGACTGGGTATCGTGGATACCTCAACAAGCACCAGGGACAGGCGGTCTTGTGCTGGGAAGTGGGATTTCCCGGTTCAAATGTGCAGTAGTACATTGCAGGCGAAACAATGATAGATAAAAGTGCTGAGGTTGAGAGGAACACAGGAAGACTGTCAAGTTGATATTGAAGAGAACAAAGAACTTGACGCACGTGACTTTGCACAATGGATAGCACCTCCATACCAGCTGACGCACAATCTGCCATCTTCTGAAAGATTGTGAGGCTCTTTGTTCTATTTACGGTGACTTTTGCTATGATGGGATGAGTTACGTACTTGAAAACGACGAAGTAAAGAGATGGCACGTTCTAATTTCTCTCTGGTGAATCCCAAGGCCTTTCCAGCTCGACGTAGCCAGCAAACAAAGAAATACAGAGGTGTTTGTTCTGGAATCATAAAGAAACATATACTACATAATCTAAGAAGCCTTGGCTACAGACATGTTAACAATACTTGAGATAAAGATGATTGAAAGCGTGCTCTTTGTTGTCCCCCAACCTCGACTGTAGGCTCGACGAGACGAATTACCTGAATTCCGGTCCAGCAGCACTCTCGTTGTCTAATCGTATCAAGACATCGTGATACTTGTCCCGCCATTCAATCTTTCTACGGTTCAAGATAATATTTTCCTCACTAAGACGTCGTATCTCTTCCTGCCCGTCTCAAGCTCCGAAATCTCCGTTTGCCGAGGTCCAGCAGCGAGAGAAACTCGATTCCTTGAGGTGATGGCATCTTGCACCAGGCTCTCCAAGTTGCATAACCTGGCGTCAATGTGATTCAAAATGCGAGATGTTTGCCCTTAGACCTGGCTGCTGATGCCGTCGATCTTGATGATGCACTGCTGCGTTGCCCTGATGGCCTCGATGGAACCAACGTCAGGATGGCTCCTCAGTTCAGAGTATCGAGCTTTGACGCGTGCTCAGTCCGGAGGCTGTCAGACGAGTGAGCTTCGCTACATGGTCGATTGGACTCTACTTACGAACGGAATCATGTGGTTTGCGTCATGGAAGTAGAAATTGGCCTCGCTCATGAGCTTACTGATTCCCCTCAGCAGCATAGGCATCTCGTTCTGTGCCGTCGGTATCAGTCCATTGCGAAAAGGGGGGAAGAAAAGCGTACCATACACGGGGCTCGCTTACCAGCACAAGACTTACCAGCCTTGAAATTGGCGGCCAGATCCCGCTACAGATTGTCAGCCAAACACACGATACATAGCTAAGAACGTACTGCCTTGCTTCTCAAGCAGGTGGCTAGTCTCGGTATCATCCTCCATCCTCGTGAAAAGGTCGGCACAGGGCATACAGGGCGGTCTGAAGATGTGGCTTGGAATAGGAAATTCCTTGAGCTTTTGCTGACAGTATGCGTAGCACTGCTGGATCTGGGAGTCTGGATCTTTGGCAAGGCTGTATATCATTGCGTGTTCATCCAGCATCACGAGTTCGATGGCCTCGCCGGTCTTTGAAGCTTCCTTAGCTGCACGTGTCTCTTTACTCTCGGGCAATTCTCTCAGCGAGATTTCCCTAGAGATAGCCGGCTCTTCTTCACATAGTTCGTTCCTGGCGGGATTCTCGGCATGGTCGATAGCATTGAAGTCCTCTACCCTGGTTTCGAGTAGATCTCGTTCACTACCGCGCCGGATGTTCTCGAGTATAATTCGAGCAACCATCGTTGCCGCTGCTGAAGCGTTATAAATAGCACTGGGCGTGATCCTGGCGCCACGAGGCTTCGCGGCATGAGTCTCGGCATTACTATGACTCGGGTCGCAATTCTGTGTCTGTTGCGCTTTTGAAGCCACAGTTTCATTGGCTCCACGGGTTGTCGTCTTGGCCTGTAAGCCATTTAGCCATTACCCTCGAGAGAACATGAACCAGGGGAAAGCTTACCTTCTTGAATGGCCTGGTGTCATCCTGAGCCACAGTGATAGCTCTGGTCAGACGTTTTCTTCCCAGTCCCTTGAAGAATGTCAACAACTGACAAAAAGAAATAGAGATATGACCAAGAGCATACGCGAGGTGATTGGGTGCGAGCCATTGATACTTGATTATTGGCGTTACAGACCAACACAGTGACAGCTGTTTCATGTGGTCACAGCAATGCTAGTCTCATGCCAAGTGCCCTTCTGGCATTTATCTGAGAAGACAGTCACCCACTACATTAGTCGCCGGAGCAGTGCCGTCGTTGCAGGAGTAGAGTTGTCGATTTGATCAGCATTTAGGGTGCAAGGAACAGCCCTGCACACTACCCGCGGAAGCCTGTCATGACCAAAATACAGGGGTTTGTCGCTCTAGCAGCCCGTGTACTGGCCGCAGTAGCGTTTGAGGCCCTGGACCCTAGATTGAGACTTCTAAAAGATCCATGGTCGGCTTTTCGCCGGGTGCCTCCTGAAGAACGTTGCTCAATACGGCTTCAGACTGTATGCGTATGTCGGGAATAGCTTCAATTTATCAGGGTCGGACTCAGGTGCAACCTCTTGCTTCAGTGGGTTACTGGGCACCCCAGCGGAGAAGCTTGGGCAATAGTGCTAAATCGTTAGCGGGAGATCAGTCTCGCCAAGAGCTCGCTGTTGACCGCCGGAAGAGCAAGGGGGATATCTTTTCACTGAGGACGCCCTGTAGGACGACATGCTTTCTACTCATGGCGGTTCTTGGTCTTTTTCACCCGGATTTCTAGCTCAACTCATCGATCAAACGTTTGGGCAAAAGAACATGTGACATATAACCTCGTCGAAGGGACAGCCAGAATTGCATTGAGTTTACTCTGTCACAAAATCCCTGTACTTGACTCCATCCCTATGCCCTAAGATTCCAAAATTCCTTCTTCATCCCCCCAAAAAAGTCCCAGTCTAGCCAAGGGTCCGACTCTAAGTCCATAGTCCTTTCAGACCTTAGTCCACCATCATGTCGACGAGATAGAGCATAATAGCAAGGATATAGGCGATCAAGCACGTCTTCACCAAGGTGATCAAGAGTGCCACGGTGCCCTTGACGGTTGCGACAACGAATCGAGCAACGAAAAAAATGATGAGCAACAAAACGAAGAATCTCACGAACTTTTCGGGAAGGAGTTCGGTGAAGTGTTGTTCGCACGCCTGTATGGCCTCGGACCAGTTGATCTCTTCGCGGAGTTGCTGGACCGAAATAAGCAGTTGTTCAATGGCCCATTTAATGGGAGGAACGGCCTCGTAACGGGACGCTATTCTTGTAAGATACTGTCACGGGAAGGAAGCTTGTACATACCATCAAGGTCTGGTGGGAACATGGTAGAAATGTGGTGAGTGTGATGTGACCTGGCTGTGTCAGTTGCAGTTGAGACCTCTTGCTGAGAGCCCATGATTACCAATTAGATCGTGGACTTGTGAGTTTATGTGCTTGCTGCAGTATTTGTTGAGTACTGGTCTCAAGAAACTAGAAAAGAGTTATGTGAAGAGTCAGTCCTGTTATATACCGATTACAAGCCATGCAAGCAGTCACTAAGCTGAAGCACTTCTTTATTCATTTCTAGAAACTGTGAATGACCAGTTTGCTCAGGTTACCGCTTTCTTCCTCTTGGAATGTTTGACTTCTTTGCTGCACCGGCCGCTGAGTTAATGCGCGTTGATATACGCGCTGCTGGGCCCCGGGACGGACCAACCCCGGAAGTGCCGTCAGGATCCGGAGCCGAAACGGACCCAAACCCGGGAACGGCTCAAAATATTGTCGCAACAACTATACGGTAATCGCACCATTCGGCATCCATCATTAGTCTTGCATTTCGATGGCATCGCAGAGACAGAAGCTGGTGCATTGGTGTCAAGATACCGTCTTCACATAGGCTGTCAGTTCAATTGGGGTTGCACTGAAGAGTGTCTCCCGCTTTCAACAAAGACTTCGCTTCTACGCTGCATTAGTAGTCTGCAACCTCCCATACCGCGTATTGAATCATGCGCTGTGACAGACCTTTCATCCTCCATGTCGTCGTCGAATTGCCTGCGCCATGCGTCTTCAGTCTGCTCAATGGCCACGCTCGTTCTTCTTCCGTGTTCCCCTACCACAGTATCTCCCATCATGAGGCCATCATTCCTGGTATTCTGAGGGTCTTCATTTTATTCAACATATAATCCCGCCCATTTTTCTACCCTTTCTCACATCATCGCATTACTGTATCTGGTACTATCTGCTACTGAATATCAGGCATCATGGGGAAACTCGTCGGCGTAAGCATTCTCGCCGTGCCCAAGATTCTGACACAAACACTGACCGAAACCCGGGCAGGAAGGGCTACAGATTAGTTTTAATGGTAAGCTCCTCTCGGAGCTGGTCACCAAGACGTCGCGACGCATGCACTGGCTTCCGCAAGATCGAGTGGTGATGGAGCAATGGCTTCGCGCCAATCATACAACAGCGTTTCTCGAAGATACAAGCGACGCATGCCTCCAGCAGCTTGCGTTCGCAATTGGCCTTGACTTTCGAAGACTAAATGAAGGCCAGAAGAAGGTTGTCAAGGCGAAAATGCGAAGTTCGCTAAAGTATACCTTAAACAAGCTTAAGGTATCGGGAGAGGTCAGTGAGAGATGGGACCCTGAAGGGAAGCAGGTTGTCCTTGATTGGACTGGGAGTTCGGGCCAGACTCTACGTGGAATACACGATAGCATCAACAATACTCCTTGCCCGGCACCTCCAACCCATCAACTCTTACCTCGGGCATGGTCTACCGACGATCATCAAGGCCGAGTCCCTGGGACTGGCAATCCACTTCCATCAAACCAGATGTCTCAGACGCACCCTACAATCCCACCCTATTCAATGCAGATGAACCCCGTCGAAGACGACGAACTTGAGCGTGCAGCTGAAGAGTTCTACCGCCAGGAGGATCACATTGATCAGCCACCCCCTTATTCCGCCCAAGCCAACTTTGTCGAAGTCGATCTAGAACGAACAACAGAAGAGTTTTACCGCGCAAGGGCCTATCTTGACCAATTTTCGGATCTCATAAGCGCAAGAGACAAGACAAAAGACCAAGACACTATCGCTCAATATATATCTGTGGTACCGGATACTCGAAGGCACAGCGCCCGAGAGGTGGACATGTCGGTAGATCGTAGACAGGCTGCGAGAAAGGAGTCACGAACCGCGGGTCAAGAACTGGCTAGGAGGAGGAATTACATCAACCTAGAGACACAAAAGACTTCATCGCGGTCTTTGATGCCCGAGATGGCTGAGCGTAAGAGTCCAGCCCTACACGAGTCTGAGTCAACAAGGGCCCATCGGAAATTCGTCAAGGAGCTCAGAAGAGGTTCACACATGTCCAAGACCACGCCCAAGATGAATGAGCCCGCAGTAACAGCAGTGGAAGAAGCTACCTGCACAAGGTGTGATGAGCACTACCAGAAAAGGCTGCTCGAAACATCCGTCCCAGATACCGTACCTGCTCGGCGACAATCCGTTCGAGATCACAGAGCCCTCCGGCAACGATCTTGCTCGGATAACAAAGTTCTCCAGCGGCCATCTCCTTCAAATCAGAAGCCCATTCAGCGACCGTCTCGGACTGTTCCATACAAGGAGCTAAGCCTAGTATCTCTCCATCCTGATCTAGTCAATGGAGTCAAGTGGCCAAAGGCAATGTGGTTTTGTTTAGGGCTACTTCTTGCACTGGTGCTTAGTTGCTATTTATTTGGTGTTTGAGAGATGATTATCATTTATGTACAAAGGAATATTGGTATAGGGCGTTTGGTCTTGGGAATTGATGGATTGAAGTCAAAGTTGTCATGCATATGTGTCTGAAGTGAGATGGGAACAGACCGATCCTTACTGCTCGATACAAATTGTCTGTAAATGCTTGTATCAGATAATAAATATCTTTGCCTATCACCATCAATTCATCTATTATCCTGGAAAGGACCCTGAGAGTTGCTTATAACCCTCCCCGAAGTTTACAGTATATAGAGGGCACAGAACTTTGAGCAGTGCACCTCAGTGACGAAGGCGAAGGCATACTCCTACGGAATACTCATACAGCTTGTAATACACAACAGCAACGTCTTCTTTCGCAAATCATCTCATTCGCCTCCCGCGATAATCGCCGGCGTCACTGAGTTTGCTCCTGCTGCAAGTGTCCAGGGCCTTCAGAGCTGTCGCTGCATGTTTCTGTGGCCTCAGCATGCGGAACAAACAAGCACATATGATTTGCTCCCAAGTTGGATTGACTCCTCTTGCAGATATTTTGGTCTCTTCCGGTCAAAATACCCTCTCTTCTGACATCCTTGTACACGGCCTTCCAACAACAGCCCCAGCCTTGTAGCCTGCATGACAGGAATGACAGATGATCTTCTGTATCAGACAAGCTCAGCCCTGCAGGTGTCTTAAACAGCCTTTAGCGCCTGTATGAGGATATCACTGCCATCTGGCGAGCCTTTGGCGCCCACGTTGGGGAAGCTTGGCGATCTGAACTTCTGCAATCAGGAAGAATCACGGCCTCACGCCAACACAATATCACCAGCTCTCCTGCAGATTTCACCTGCCAGATAAACAAGTTCTCTATTACTGGATAGTGGTATTTATTAATGTGCGCCAGGTGACTCTTAATTGTTCTACCACATGCTAATACTCAGTGCAGTCCTATCATCATGGTACCCAGCAAGAAGCGATGCGAAACATGCAACAAGTACTTCAATACCCATTCATGGTCCAAACACACTCAGAAATGTCGGAGATGCAATATATGCAACGATTTCTGCAGTGCCAAAAAGTCCCTGTTCAACGCTCATCAAGCGCTCTGTGGCAGAGATATCGGGAGGGGAAAGCATCCTTGCCGAAAGTGCGGACAAGCCTTTAAAAGAAGATGCAATCGTGACAGACACGAGAAAATATGTCTTCCCTGTAAAGACTGCGGTGAGTGGGTAACGCCCGGTCCGACGAGTAGGGCAATCTATCGCATCAATTGCCAGTCTAGGCTTCCACGCCAGAGTTCCGAGTCGCAGCCTCTCAATCAACTTGAGGCCCAGGCCCAATCCCAGGGGCAAATTTACTCTCAGATTGTACCTCCAGTGCCGGCTCCAGCTGGCGATCTTATCCAATCTTATAGATCTAAGGCTGAGGATGCTGTTTCACGTATGATGGCAATGATCGATGCCAGAAAGAATGCGAAATCTGGTACACGCGAAAGCGAGGATTACAAGAGCTTGCATAAGTACTGTAGAGGAGTTAGTGTTGGGCGGACCATGTCTGCTTCAGATTACATGGATCTTAGTCAAAGCACAAAGCCTCAGGATAGCATTATCGTATGTACTATGGCTGAGGCGACCGAGATCTTCATAAAAGGGCCACCGACTATACCCGTTCTTATAGTCGGGACACCTAATCCTCGGCCCCTGAGAATCGACACCTTTCTGGCTTGGTTAACATGCCGAGATACATTACATGTGCATGACTTCCACCGTCCATCCGCAAAAGGCCGTGCTCCAATTGCTCTACCTTCCAAAGACGCCAAGGCACTGTTAGAAGCGCGTGATAAAGTATCGGGTCCGGCCCTGAACTTTCTCAACCTCAGAGGGACGAAGGACGATGCCGGGCCAGAGTGTATCAAGAACATGTACGACTACAAGTGCATTGAACTCTCATATGCCGACAACGGGAAGATTGAAGCGGAGGTTTCCGTCGGGGATCTTGATGACTCAACTCGGTTTCAGCTCCTGGCTTCAACTGGAGCTATTCATTTGCCCCATATTGATAGACACGGGGTGTTCACGACTGTGCTGAACGAACAAGGGGAGAAAGTCTGGTTGATCTGGCCGAATCTGGGGTTCGAAGTGTTAAAGAACTGGGATGAAGAGAACAAACTGCCGACTGCCCCTATCGCCATCCATATTGAAGAGGGCTCCTATTTGATCCAACCTCCGAGCACACTCCACGCCCCAGTGACTATGAAGACCTGTCTGATGACAGGCACTATGCACTGGTACTCGGGCCACCTACTTGATATCACCCAGGCTACCTGTATAATAAACGAGGATGAGAAGATCACCAATGAAGATATCTCGGATCAGTTCATCCCGAAAATGGCAAAGCTCCTCAAGCTATGGAGGGAGAACAAGGCGCCCTGCTCGTGGCCTCCGCTTGACCGATACGCAGAGGCTATGACTGCTCTTGATGTAAGTCTCTATACAGCAATGTTTCCAATGTGTTGCTGATGCCGATCAGAATCTTCGAGAGGGGTGCAGTTGCAAGGCCAGAAACGTTCTCTGTGGAAGCACTTCGTCGTGCAAATGCAGGAAGCTAGGTTTACCTTGCTTCTCCCAGTGCCATGTTAACAGAAGGGATTGTGATAACCTGATTTAGTAGACTGGTGATGGTGAGGCGTCTTGAGTACAGCGACCGATGGCGCGATCGTATGGCTCGGATATGGGTCTTTGCGTGTAAGTGTTCTCGCCAAGTACCCCAGGGATGAATAAGACGAGAGAGTTGGAACATAGAAGAACAGTGATCAAATGGGAAATTAGGACAAAAGGGACAAAAGAGAAAGGATTGTCACCTAAAGAGGTGTGACCAAAGGCGCCTCCACATCATTCAGACGTTGGCCCTTTTCTTGTAAAATCCTACTTTGGCTCTCAAACCTTCTAAATGCCTTGTTCTGGTACTCAACAGCCATCAACAGTATAACATTATCAGCATTCTTAAAATAATCAGTTATCCGAAAGTCGAGTTAACTTGATTCAAGGCAGTATCTGGCTACTCGCTCGTTCAAGGTTGGGCGGCTCCTTCATCCTAACCGATGTTGCGAAATCTACCCTATACAGCGCGTCCGAAATGCACCAGAGCCAGTCACTGACCTCAATAAGCGGGCAGTGAAAATTGGGGCATTTATCGGAGGAGCAGGGCTGCCAACCGCAGGAGCAGTAAAATTATAGGCCATTCATCGCAAGAATCCCACTGACCTGGCAAGTTGTTGTCGCAAGAGCAGGGCCAAAAACCAGGAGAGCCATTGGGCTTAGCATCCACAGTGATGCGACGCCAGGCACTCACTTGGTCATCAAAACGCCAACAGCAACCTAATCATTTCATTTCGCTCAAGCTCAGCAAGTTGCTACAAAGCTGGAAACGACACTTTGGGAGTGGCTTGATCAAGCCCATATGAGCAGAAGAAACTTATCTCGACGGTAAGAATTAATAATCAAGGAGGCGTCACTTAGGAAATTTTGTATACTCCTGGGTCATGTTACGAACGTGCGCCTTTTCAGCTGCACGACAGTTTCGATTCGCATCAATGAAGCTATCGTGAGAGCGTTAGATGAGTTCAAGTGCGGGGAGCATGGTGTTGAGTGGGCGGGCATTTTTTTAAGGCAGAGGTCGGGGTTGGAATCCACCCTTGCATAAATTTTTGCCGTCGGTTATCTCTTGTACTACTTTTTGTCCCTCCCCATTACATCAGTACGCTGAGTTGCCAGAAGCGCAGCTTGACCAGCCACTGTAACCTCATCCGAGGTCACCAAAATGGCTTTTTAAATAGTTTAAGCACTTGTTCTTCCACCGCGAGCTGCAGTTTCTAGTATGGTGCATAAAGTAGCCTACAATTGAAGCAATTGAATGCAATCGTCAAACCCTTCCTGGCGAGGTCGCCCTGGCTCAACAACATGGAAAATGAGCACATATACATATCAACAGCACTTGATTAATTCGTGCTCGATATATATTGCCTGTTGCCCAGATTTATGAGTCTGGATCTGTAAACCGGCATTCCTTTACTTCAGTCTAGATTATCTTCCATAGCGACGATCCCGGGAGGACCCAGTAAACACATGCACTGGATCCTGCTCCGGTGTGTGGGTTCATGTCGCAGCGACGAAGCGCATCATAAGATGATCACTTGGCGGTGCCTGAAGGTTCTGTAGTCTGCATAGCTTCAAATCCGTCGTTTCTATTTTCCGCGTGAAATTCTTTTCGGAAGACATGGAAAGGATGACAGGAGTCGACTTACATATGGCCATCTCAAATTGCCAAAGGTGCTGTAGAACCGAGTTATGGGCCCGCAGAGCGCTAGATTTACGCAATGCAACTTCTGGACATTGCGGTTGGTGAGGAGAAATACCAGGAATACAAATGGGAACAAGGGATCGCACGACTAGGCTCAAGCTGCACTGCTGCATTCATCGTACTCTGTATGGTAAGAAAAAGCTCAGCATAGGTCCCTGCTTTCAGATGGGGTTCCATAGATCCATCGTCAACGTTCGCAAGATGCTGCAGAGCCCTCTCGTCCGGGGCCCCCTGGAATATGGAAGACACTCCACAGCACATCTTTTCTGGACGGCAAGCGACCAATGGTCTTACATGATTTAAGCTTGAGATCACTACGCTGGTTCATGTGTACCCACTCACTTCGCCATCCTTGAGACCAGTACAGTAGACATGTGCTAACAAGTTACACTGACTATGATGGTCGAGGCACAACCTTCGACATTAGTCTGGTATAGTCTTCTCCCGCATAACAGCTCAACCTTACTACAGTGAAATTTCTGAAAGTTTATGGTATAGTATCAGCCGACGTGCTTATAGCAACCAGACACCAATAAAACGCGATCCCACAAGACAGTGGGTCAAAGTTGAGACAACATGGGCTGGTGAGGTCGCAACCGACCCATGCAGATACTGTTCTTGTAAGCTTCTAGCATGTCATCAGAACGCCCTAAGATTTAAATATACGTTGAACTTATTGTTAGATATGGCTTTGGCAAATGTGCTTGATAGAGAACGGGCATTTCTTGCTCGAGGAGCGGCCAAGTGAAGTATCAGATACACTATACAGCAAGCTACTTCCAGGCCTTCTCTGAGGAAAAGGGACCATGATGGAACCCTTGTGAGGCCAGGAGGCGAGTTCGTAAATAACACAGGTTTTAGAACGCCGAGGTAGTAAATTTGGAGGCGTTATTGCGTCGTGCTGGTGGCCCCGATGCTGAAGCTCAAACTTGCTCCGTCCGCCCAAGTTCATGGCCTATGTCTGCTTTTCATTTTCTGAGATTGATAACTATAGATTCATCATTTATGCTTACATAGGAAGACTCGATTCACCTCTCTCGCTTCTTCACAGCTTTGGCATTGCCAATTTCACCCATCTCAGCCCAAGTCAGTCTATTCACTATCTTTGCCATCAAAGCGACCATGGATGCCGCCACCGATCAAGTTGCAATTTATTTGCATACCAAGACCGGGTAATTTTTGAGATGCTTTGTTCCTTATCGAAAGCAACGAGATCACCGAAAAATCTGCGTTGCGCCTCATCGATGCCATCTGAACCAATGCCGCATTGGAGAAAATGATACGGCCCAACGACGGGAAATCCATGGCGCCAATAAGGATCAAAGTTGTTCAGAGTTTAAACATTTGTTGAACTGATCAAGTGTAACGAAGGACTCTCTCGTTCATAGCTCGTAACGCCATGCCCTTGAAAGGTATCTAGATGGCTGTGTCATAGTATGGTATACCAAGTCTAGCCTGACTTGGTCAACGACGACTGGCCAGTCACTATGAACAGGCCTGGTGTCGTTCCTGCGCCTAGCTGATTATTCCTTAGCTAGTAAGAAATTGAGATTTACGTCGAGAGACGTGGCTACGAGGATGCCCGTTCATCGGAGTAGCCGGGGCCAGTAGCAATATTACCTCAGTTTTGGAGGTTACGGTGTAAATCAGGCGAAGATCCCAGAGCCGGAAACAACTTGGGGGTTGAATCAATCGTACTAGAGTATTACGCTCCGATTACTCTTTGGATTATGACAAGTTAGAGGGTATCGATTGGTTGGGCTAGTTCTGCACCTCTCATTCTGGAGATGGTGTATTCGTGATGTCTTGAAAATGGATGCCTGGTGCGGGGAGTTCCCCAGGGATGTCCACTCGGCCGGCTAGGCCAATTTCCATATCAATGCATCGCGCATAAGTCGTAAATGTGCTGTGAATATTCTGAAGATATGAAGGCCTCCCTTGATGAGAGTGATTACTGAGGGGGTCTCTAAGTTTGGCCAAGCTCGCGCATGTAGAAGCTACTCGCTTGACATCTGAGCTCCCGGACACCAAATAAGAAGAATGGGCATCCGGGCTTATTTCATGGGCCTCCGTAATCTAGAGTACGTCCGCTTCCAATTGCAGGAAACAGTATAAGGGAAGCTCTAGTTGTTCCAGTTATGAAGTATGAGAATACTTGGATATAGTCTAACTAGACATGGCCATGAAAGACCACAAGCGCCATTGGAGACCAACACTATGCTATGTGGGATGGAAAACTTCCTGAATAGTTCTTAAGTATCGACCAGCTTGAAACAAATTTGAGTCCATGAATCAATGCTAGAGATTGGATGGAGAACAGCTCTTGTCTTCGACACATGCAACGCTGGGCGCCGTTGGAGCACATTGTGTACTTTGAAAGCAACATGTGCGTCCTCAACATCAGTGACGCTGTAACTGCGCCCGACACTCGCTAGACAAACCTACTGCAGTGAAGGATGTGCAGGCCATTATGCATCACAAGCAAAGAAGATGCCAAGGCAGTAAGATGCGCGAGTACAGCTATGATTCAACACAAAGAGTTTGCAGCATAAATCTCATTTGGCATGCGTCGAAAAACACCAAGCTTTTCCAGTACATATGTGCTGTGCGGTGAAACGTTTAATGATAACCGCGCTCCTTTCTCGTAAACATCTCGGTGAGTTTCTCACGTTAATATCTTTCCGACAATAACCTAGCATGAAATTTCAGCGTCGTGAGATCAAAAATACGCCAACGGATTCTCTTCATGACCGAAAAACCTGACCGAGGTGGTGAAATACCTGGAAGAACTGCCATCTGTTCGGTGAGAGCACCGCCAGTTCTTGATACCTCACAAACCACTCCAGCCGTTGGAACGACTGACAGTAAGTGCTGGCTCAAAATGCCCCATACTTTCTCCGACAAAGTGACAGACTCAACCGCGGAGATGAGTTACTCTTAGCAAGTGCCTGCGCTTCACGAAAACCGGGAGCAGAATCAACCATCGGTAGTCAAGCGACCGTATCAGCGGGCAAAGTCAATGCAACAACCTGGAAGTTCTGGCCATCAGAATCAAGAGAGCCGTGAATATGATAAGGAAGCAACTCATCTCCGTTGACTGATCGTGCGAGTATGAACAAGCCTGCTCTTGGCATCATGACATGGCTCAACAGACGATAAAGAACCGCGTTTCCACGAGGCGTCAGGAACAGATCCTAGCCGTCGCTTTAGCTATGAATGGTATGCTGGGGAAAGACTCAGGCTGACATCAAAGCGTAGATCACGAGCCTCTTTCTCACGAGTGACATTTGACAGAAGGCTCAAGCGTGTTGATCTTCAGGCCATGTCTCATCAACGTTGGCATGAGTTCGTGGCATGGAACTCCATTATGATGCATTAGTTTGAGATTATGCTGGTATTTAGCAGTTAGGTGTGTTTGTTTCATTTGTAAAAAGAAGTTAATTTTTCGTCAAGATTTACTTTCACTCGTCGTTCTGCCGTTGTCGGAAAAGCCGTGCATTGAACTAAGAAGCAATTCGTTACAGGGGCTGTCCAGTGCTGCGGGAAACCAACCACTTACTGAACCTAGCCGCAGTCATAGCGCTGAGCAGTGTAGTGACCCACTGTAGCTGGCTGCTCCCCCAGTAGAAAACCATGCTACGGAGACAAACGCCATACAGTTTCACCGCTGGCTGTTGCGGTAATCCTCATTACACTCCCTGTATCATTATCATTTTGTGAAACTGGTGAATGGCAGCTCAAGTTGAAGCCCCCCAACGCTGGTCGCTGGTGCCAACAGCCAACATCCAGTATAATGATGAAGGCAACGACCAGTAATTCCACGTCCTGGGGCACGGCACCTCTCTTTGAAACGGGCTTTAACGCCAAACGCTATTCTTAAGCTACAATATCGCAATTTCCAGATCGAAAACGGAGACGAATTCAGTGAATGGTATGTGAATCATTACATGTACCATGATGGAAACGCCAGTCGTGACCCTTCTCTTAGCATGAAGTAGGGCAACAAAAGGACCAAGGACAAGAGGTGGAGGATGCTTAGCGGGTCCCAGCTGCGACTGACTGTGGCGGAGCTGGGTCGAAACATGAGGTGCAGAGGGGGAGGAATGATGCGAGAGACCGGGTGAGTGATATGTAATTGGTCGACGCAGAGGATAAAGTTCTCTGTTGAGCTGATGCATTCTGTTTCCCAAAGATTGTGTCTGCCACATCCAAGGAGGATCGATCGACCCAATAGCAGCGGACTAAGCAGCCCGAGATGGCAGGGCGCATGCGCTGCCCAGATATGAGGTCCCCTGAGTTTGGTGATTTATCACTGCTGCATACGCCACGGCCGCAAAAGTCCCTGCTGCATATGTACAGTATGTCAACGAGAGAATGGTCCCGGGGAGGTTTGCGGCAGCTTTAGCGCCGCATGACTGCTGCACTCAAGCATCACACCACATCAAAAAAACCCTCCAGCTTCATTTGTCAAGAGAGACAGAGTCAAGCTTCAATTTTGGCGAGTAACCGAACCAGAACTACAGCAAGCTCGTCTTTATATTTGTGTTTCCAGTGAATCTTGGAGTCTAAGTGAATATAATTTAGCTGCCTCATCCTTGTCTACGTGGTCAGCTGTCCTGACGCTATTCTGACATGTCAAATATTTGCTCTGCACTGACGGTATTCTTTGGCTTACACATATTTCGATCAAGGCGTAGTTAATTTAGTCATAAAAGCGATTCTAGCTCGTTATGAGACTAGACTAAACCCCTACCTTCCAACTGTTATTTCAAGATCACCGTCCTTTCTACTCAGGTTGGTCATATTCTTCGCTCTATTATTCCTCCATATACCGACCCCCTGACAAATATGCTCTCTACCAACGTCGAACACTAGCCTTTCATCAAGCACCTCCTGATACACCATCTTCGACAACAGTATCCCCATTACCATTCATCCACTCCTTTGCGGCTCTGCACAACATATTCTCCCCCCTGACCTCAACAATGGACACTCCTATGGTGTATTCGCCAACCTTCGAACCACCTTTCGTCATTGACAAGACGCGAGACAGACTTCAGGTGCGCCTTCGAAAGAACCACCTTGAAGGCTACGTTTTGATCAACCTCCCGCAATATGACCCCATAGAGGCTATGAAAGCCGCCATGTCTATCGTCAAGGACATGGACATCGCGATGTTGAACAAGCCGCATGGGAGCAACTCGTCCGGTTGGGTGTCCCTGACGGGGCATCCATGGTGCCATGCTACGACCCTGAATCGTGGAATTCACTTCGCCCTTCCTTTGGCTGCGGTACAAGAGGACAACATGCGAAAGGACAAGCAACAGCAGGCCGAAGTTGCTGCTCCTCCTTTGAAGGCACCTCCTACCGACGCGAGAGGGAGGAAGAGAACCCGCCCCGAAGACGGTGGTTGCCAAGAACGTCCCCGCAAGCGTCCAGATTCTCTAGGCTGGTCTGGGTGGCTCCGCTGGAGTAGTGCCAGTCCAGCCCCCAACCCCTGAAACCAAGGAACGCACGAGGGCCACTTGCTTGAGTCGAAGAGGATGTGGGAACGAGAGGAGTATTTTTGATTCGTCATTTCGGATTGCCAATGGAGGAGGGAAAGGAGTATAGGCTGAAATGGGTAATAGACCGGTTTACACTTCTTGCATCAAAGAGTTGTTCTGCGGAGGTTGGGCGAAGATGGGCTGCAAGAGTCACGAATGGGAAAAAGTGATGGGGTTGTGTATTATCTAGTACCTCATATATTCATGAACACGATGGCATTCCATCCGATATCCCAAACCCTGCAACATTGTTCCATTCTTCAGTCAATCCTATCGGTTCGTGGCCGCGATAGACGATTGCCACGACACAATTGTAGAAAGATCCATACGAATTACCACTGCTCTCCTGATCAATCTACCCATCACATTCCGCAAGATCCTCAATGCAACCAGTCTGTAAAGAAGGATAATAAAAACTTCGGGCAAGGCCAACAAGGACCACGCAATTAGTTATCTCGCCCCGCGAGTCGCTGTCGTTTCCAAGTCTCACCACTGCCCTTGATCAAACAGACGCCTTCAAAGCCCAAAAGCAGCCTCTCTGTGCATTCTGTCAACCTCTATCCTCATAGAAGTCACCGCTTCTTCCATGAGAAGCAGTTGACGGAACCTATGGTCCCGTCCTTGTCCCGCATCCCGCTCCGCCTGATCCCACAGGATCTCCCAACTCTTCTCCAGTGCCCCCCTCTTGTCATCAGACTCCTTCTCAGGGACAGAGGAAGCGATACCAGAGGGAGCTGGGTCATTGGGTCGTGAAAGGCGACGGCGTCGATCAACTTTGGCCCTTCTGCGACTCGAAGTCGAGACTTGTGACTCGAGGAGCGTTAGTATAAGGAGATGCTCATGTGATAGATGACAGACTAACCTTGGCATCTGTCTTGGGCATCGAATCTGCATCCTTCATCTCCACATCCGTCAGACTCTTCTGCCGTGCAAGCCATGCTTCAGCTTTGTCGATGCCATCAGTGGAAGTACCAAATGAATCCCGATCCAATTGGTGCCTTTCAGCCATCTTCGAGAAAAACACGACGGTCTTCTTTAGACGCTTCCCCACAATGTTTAGAAACTCCTCCCCTTGATTGTAATTACACCATTCAAGAATCTGCTGCCAACTTTGAGGATCATCCGGACGAAAGCCATTGGTCACCGCCCAGAGAATGATAGCCTTTGTTTTGGCGCACTGCCGAATACCAGCATTCGGGCCACGGCTACCTCCCTGTGCGTAGGTGCTGATGTGATGCCCACATAACTGTGTTGGTGAGTTATCTTCACACATCTCGGCGTATCAGCTGGACTGGTGAGGTATGATAAGTTATAGCGTATGATTGATGACTTGTGAGTAACTGAGGAGTTTGATTGAGATTAGCAGAGGGAACAGAAAGAAGAAGTTGTCAGTGACATGCCCATACATACCACTTGACACACCGCTAGTGACGGAGAGGAGGAGATGGCATTCACATATCCGTAGAGACCAGTATCAACCCGTTGACACGCCGCCATCATGTGAAGTTTGAAAGAAATATGTTCAACAGCATTAAGCTTCCGGTAGTTTGCCTCTGCACACATGATAATGATCCAATGGATATGCGAGCTCAGCATGCACTCTGCCGTGCATTGCACTGAAGCACCACATCGACCCACCAGAGTTGCTTTGAAAAGGTAAAAGGTTTCATGTAATACATGAGCAAACACCGTGTTCTCCTCTAAACCACACACAGCGGACACGATCTTGTTACTTCCGCCGTCCTGATCGCCCTCCTGGATTCTGTCCCAGCGTCCAGACTCTCGGGGCAGCAAGGGTAGAGAAATCCGTGAAACTTAGTTTAACGTCCCCAGAGATTATGGGATCCTCATTCAGACGTCCTGCAAGTAAAGTATTGTGGTCGTGAGTTGTGTTGGGGACTTAGTCCAGGGACTGCAGCTTGAAGCTCTGAAGAATGGCTGGTAATTGCTCAGCACATACATGCAACCACTCTCATTAGCGTCGAATTGTGCGGGATTGCATGCATCGTAAAGACAGAGATAGCGTAGATGACGTCGAGCTTTGCTCCGTATATGCAGGCACTTAACCTAGCGTCTAAGGGATATGGGGAAGACTTCCCCGTGTATACAGCTACCTGCACATTGGCATTGGTCAGAAGTAGATATTGTATTGCTGATGAGCTCCGAAGGCACTCAAATTGAGATAAAGGCTTGCTGTATATGTGATCTGATGTCTAGATGCCTCATTGCCGCCTCTAGGGCTTACTAAGTGTTTCTTTCGTCTTGGGCTCTTAGTCCTATTCCATCTCTCACTTTTCCACCATTCACCTCTCCATCTTCTAGTTCTTCCATTTTTCAACTCTCTTCCATCCATACTTCTCTCTCCAGTCTACCTTGTGCGTTGTGAGCACTTACCAGGCCTCCTCTCCTCTCTTTGACTGAGATTCACGTCTATCTTTAAGCACTTGCTGTCAGTAATGGATCTATCGCCGCAGAGTGCGCTTGGATCGTTGCGTGACTTCCCTTTTATGATCAAGCTTCGGTTTCATGTTCATGACCCACTGCTCGGGCCTCGCCGTTGGTTGAGGGCCTCCCTTCTCTGTACACTCAAGCTTCGACTTTTATATGAGAGTCTTGGTGCATTGCAACTTGACAAAGGCTCACTCGATCAATGCCACTTCTGCTCATGAATTAGTGGCAAAGTGTAGGTTGTACTCCATGTTCTACCATGCAACTCTAAGACTAACGCTACTCTCTTGCAGGTAAAGACCACCACATCGCGATCAGTATCATGTTCACACCTACAACAAGCACAGTCTGCCTCAACAAACACATATTAACTTGGGGGCTTCTTCCTCTCACTGGGTTGATCAGATGTTGCTCGCCCAGCACCAAGAAACCACCCACTCATTGCATGGTGGATCACTGAATTGGCCGATGGTAAGATCTCATAACCTGTGATACATCTGCAAAGTCTCTGACTCTCTTCAGGATCTCTCCTCTGAAATATCAAGACAATGCAATGCTTCAAGCATCAATAACTATCACTCAAACACTGGAACCCTTTCGCTGCAACACCAAAGTGCTTGCTCGGGTAGATCATGCGTCAGAGTTACTGGCCACTCTCTTTCTACCACCACCCCTTCTTTCACAGCCCCTTATCCTGTCGCCTTGGAGGGGCCTACCAGTCTCGGATACCACAACTCCGGTGTCCCAATACCACATATGCAACCTACCTCAGCTTGCGATAATATACATAAGTGTGTCCTCATTACGCCACGATTTATGGCCATGTGCCCGTAGCTCGTTCAATAGGAGCTTTGAGGCTTCTATCTTCTCAATGGCGGCTTTCAACGTTCGCCAAGTCTTCATATTAGAGGAGAGAACCGGAGTCATAGCAGCAGCTACTCTAGGTGACTGCTCAACTTCTAATCTACATCCATCAAGTTAGAACAAATGTTCTAACTCTTCGGCCTTCCAGCTTTGCGTCTCAATGACATTCGTGGCGCATCCTATCATCTACACCATATCTTCGTGGCCGCCTCTCAATACCCCTGGCCATGGTCTCAACTCGACCCTTCACATATTCTTACAATGCCTTATTCAGGCCTGCAATCTCATCTATTTGTCAATCATTCAACTATTTCACCAACAAAACCATAAACCTCTCAACTTGTCTAACACCAGACATTCAATTATCTCATTCACCAACCAAATGTCCCGTTTCTCAAAAGCCATCACCTCAGCACATCATTTCATGACCAACCTTTAATTGTATCATAACATTACACGTCCGTGAGCATAAATTGCTCTCAAAACTCATAAGCCAAAGCATCAAGCAAGCAATACTGAGACTTCAACAGAAGAATATTACGTAAGAAGCATATATTGCTCTTTCAGAAAGTACAAATAATACAGAAGAGGCATAAAGTGCCGTCAAGAAGCATAAATTGCTACTCAATCCTGGAAACACTGGACCAATTGGAAGAATAAACTGTATATGACACAATAAGCATAAACTGCTTGGAAGGAAATACAAGATTAAGCAGAGCATAAAATGCTCTGGGATATAAGCCATAAGGGCTGAAATGGCGAATGTTAATTCGGAAAGGAATATTATATAAGGAAGAGCAAAAATTGCTGAGGGATTTACATTACATACTGTTTCTTTGTCCCCAAAACTACACAACGTACTCGGAAATATCACGTCATAAACATCATATCACACCACGGAACATCAGCACTTTCAGCAATACCACAAAGAGAAAATTCTACCATTCTCACCAAACTTAATGTCTCAACACTTCAGTTGCTCTCAATATCTTTTACCTCGATTCATCTCTCATCTCCGTACATCAACGTCAACAATCTTGGCTCGCGATCCCGCTTTTAGGCAGCGAGGCTCTAGGCTGTGTTCATTGAGAACCCTTGCAAACCACATTCTACACTGGTTCGAAATTGTCCCTACACCTGCAGTTCATACTGCAGCTGTAGAATCACAAGCATATCTACAATCTGGGCCAGACAGGCTCTCCACACTCTGCAGTGCCTCATCACCTGTGTATCTCGCAATTATCACGATTGGCCCTCTTTTTCACCGTGACCATTTCTCCACTGGCTGATCATTCGGCTCTACACTACTACACTACCTTATCTCTTGGGTTCCTCGCAATTAGATTATGCTCTTACTTGAGAGGTTCAGATCTCATCATTGACCATTCTGAATAAAACCACTCTTTCCAGGCCGATTATTTGGCTCTGTTGATTACCGAACTTCTGATTTACCAGAGTATTCAAATGATCTTTTATCAGCACACTGTTCCTGCCGATACGCAACTGTCAGCAGTTGCCATCTGCCATCTTGTCACTACTACTAGGACAAGACACGGTTTCATGCCGTTCGATCCACCCTTGATGTATTCATTCATTGAATGCAAAAAGCAGCCTTTTTTAAAAAGTGCAAGCTTTGACTCTCA